CATTGGGGTTTGGGGGGCCTACGCGCTACATTGCGTTTATTCGCTGTTTTGGGACGTCCCCCCACTGGAAATGGAGGGCAACTGGGGGCTTTCGGGTTTGGTTTGGGTGGTTTGGTGGGTACTGACAATCATCGGGTAGACCCGAGACTCGGGTACGGGACGGGGGACTCGGGTTGGCGTGACGGGGCCATCATAAAAACGACGAGACCCAATCTGATATTTGACGCAAGTTCTTGCTGCAAGCATCCAACGAAAACTGGACCGTCAAAACCCAGGACGCGCTCGTCAAAAAACGTTGGCAAACCCGCGTTCCGGCTTACCCGAATTTGCAATTTGCCCGAAATGAACGCGTTCCGCAACACTGCTCAGCTCGAGCCCAACCGCGCACGGGCGCTACGAAGCGACCGGCAGCCCACGCCCCACCTCGAGCCGTTCCTGCACAGCAGTTGCCGCAGGGCGGCGGAAGAACACGGCGGCACCGGCCGCACCGGAGCGCCTCTGTGCGCAGAGGGCCTGCGCTGCCGCGGCAATCGCTCGCGCCACCTCTGCGCTCCAACGCGCGCCCTCAGGTCGGGCGCGCCCTCCTACAGGCGGCTTCTGGACGAATGATGGAAAACATCCAAACATGATCCAACATACTATATACATACAATGTACACATATGCATACACATATACACATCTGTATGCATACATATCTATTTTTATATATAGGTACAAGAGAGAGAGAGGGAAAGAGAGACAAATGAATAAACAGAAAAGGAACGCGCCCGATTTAAGCGCGCCCCGCGAGCACTTGTTAGGGAACCGAACGACGAAACAAACATAACAAATCGGAGGTCCGCGCGGACTTCTCGGATCGGGGCAGGACCCCCCTGGCGGCGACTCCAGCGCCGCCCCCTGCGCGCTTCGCGCGCCAAGGAAGGAGGTCCAACGCCGATCTGAGAGATCCGTGCGTACCTCCGAGTTGTTACGTTTGTGTCATTGAGAATTCCCCTACGGTTGCCCTCGGGCCCATCCGCGCGCGCGCGGCACGCCGCCGGCGACGCCGAAAACGCCCGAAGCGGACCAACCGACCGCCCATCGGAACCCCCGCGAGGAGGGGTCGGCGCGCCGGTCCACGAGCGGCAGCGCCGACCGCATCGCTAAAAAACGACGCCCCCGCCGCCGGGGGCCTGGAGCGCTCCGTCGCGCAGGCGTCGCGGCAAACGGCTATTGCCGCGTCGCGCCTCGAATCCAGGGGCGCCACGCCCAGCGCGTCGCGCCACCGCGCCCTTGGCATCGCCGGCCCTGCCAGCGCCATCCCAGAAGCCCCATCCGACAATAACACTCATGCGTTCCCGAAGCCAACATTCATCGAGAGGGTTGCTGCGGCGCGCATGGGCGATAAAGAACAGCGATCCCGCCATCAAAATAATTCAGCCTCGACAAACCAGAGAGCGTTGGGTGGATACGCTTGCGCCCAAATCAAATCGCCCGAAACATGGCCGCGAGAACCAGCAATCCGAATCTCTTGAGACCCGTAACACGCAGCAAATCACAAGACGACAACGACGATTACAGAGACAGATCGCAATGAAATGAGGAATCGGAAGTCGGGGGGTTCGCCAGGTTGACCCGCTCGAGTGTTAGAGGGGGCCGCCCTTCTTGCGTCCCCGCGCAGGCGCGCGCCGGCGAAGCGAGGAGGGCAAAAAAAGGGGAGGGAGGCGAAGATGGCAGCGGGAGGAGGAGGAGGGCACGGGGGGGGGCGGCAGAGAAAACAGGCGAGGACGGGGAGGAGGGGGAGAAAAAAAATGGAGGGACGCAAGAGGGGGAGGACAAAAGGGGAGGAGGAGAGCGGGGAGGGGGCGGACGAGGGAGGAGGGGGGGGGAGGAGGAGGAAAAGAAAGGCGAAAGTGAAGAAGGAAATGGGGCGAGGCTGAGAAGCAAGGGCGAACGGAAACAACAAAAACTCATCTGCGCGGCCGGCGCGCCGCCGCCAATCCTTCGGGGCCGTCGCGGCGCCAGGAAGGGTTTGGCAGGTGACCTTCCAGGTGGTTGAATCACATATTCCTGCGAAGTGTCGCTGGAAATTTTGTGCGAACGGGTCGCACGAGAATATTTGGTGAGGCTTCACCAAAATATTTGGTCGGCCCACCTCCTGGGCCACCTTCCAGGCCGCCTTCCGGGCCAGGGGGGGGCCGCACACGCCGGCCGACGCTCGCGACCGCCGCCGGGCCGCGTGGAATTTTCTGTTCGCGCCGCTTCCGGACGCCACCTTTCAGGCGCCACCTTCCGGGCGCGGTCGCGCCCGCGATGGGGCGGGCAGGAAGGGCGCGCGGGGACCGGGGAGGGAGAAGCGAACAAGCGCGAGAGACGGAGGAGGAGGGAGGGGGAGGCGGGGGAAGAGGAACGAGGAAGAGGTAGGGGGAGAATGGGGCGAGACGGGCGAGCAGGGGGAGGAGGATGAGACAGGGAAGGGCGAAAAAACCTGGCCGGGGGCCTCCCACCACCAGGAGGGCGCTCGCGAACCGAGGGCCCGCAATAAAGCGACGACGGCGATGGCGGCAACGGAAACGACGACGACGGCGACGTTGACAACGCACGCTGCCATCTCGAAGTGGAGCGAAACGGTGACGCGGGAGATTGCCGATTCAAGAAAAGACCCAGAAGAGCGAATCATGAAGAAAGTTGATAACAAAGAGGACGGAAACAGCGAACAAGAGGGTGCGGACGAGCAGCACTGCAGTTCCAGAACGACGGATTAACGAAACCAAATGTTTGCAATGGCGTTGTCTAACCTTGAGTTCGGCGATTTGGCCGACTGCCTTCGCGGCAAAGACTGACGAAAAAAACCTCGGTGGTGGCATATCATATTAGTTACATGAACCCATGTTGGGGAACAATATTTGGTCAACCGCTTCCCCTATCGCACGTGGGACCAACAAGATAATGGGAGAACAGACCGGCGCCTGAATCCGAGCAGCCAACGAATCGTGGACCGCCGCCATAGTTAAGAAACATGGACGTTACATGGGGGCCAGCGCACATGACCATGCTCTGCACCACCGCTGCAGCTAGCACAGGCCCAACGCGGTATGAAGGAAGAGGCTGAGGAGGACTAGGAGAAGAAGCCATCTGCCCCAGCCCCGGTCCTCATTCGCGTCCTGCTTCTCGGCTTCGCGCTCTGCCTCCGCACGCATCTGCTTCTCCTCGCGAAAGCAGACAGCGGCAGCGCGAGACCGGGCATGCGCGCTCGACTGTCTCGCACAACTGGGGAAACAACATATACCATACCGACACTCCACGGACCTCTCCTGGGGTGCGTTCTGACCAGAATAGAATCCGGAGGCGAATCCAGCCGAGGCGACGAGGGAGCCGCAACGGTATCGGCACCTTCTCCTCTGAGCAACTGCCAGCCTCCAAATCCAAGGCCAAGCAGTTGCTGGGCTGAACACCAGACAGAACGCCAAAATAGTACTCGGCGGCGCGTCCAAGGGGGGAAAGTGAGAGGGAGCAGGCCTTCTCAAATTGCGGCAGGAGTTTCTCAGAAGCGATCGCGCCTTCTGAATGAAGGTGTCTGTGTCGCCGGGGAAGGCTCAGGAAACTTCTAAGAAAGTCCGCCCCCTGTCACTTCCCCCCTGGGCTCGCCGCCCAATTACTACGCGCGAGGCCCGAGAAAGCAAATGAGCGACGATCGGAAAGGGGTCCTACGCGAGACGACGTAGCGACCTTACGCCGCTGCTTACGCGGGCCGCAAGCGAGATCCGCCAGTGAAGACGAGGGAGCTCACGCGCGACCTTACGCGGGCAGCTTACGAGCCAGCGTCGGTGAAGACGACCCCGCTTTTTTGCTTGCGCCCAGGCACCCAAAGGACAGTCAGGACACTCCTGTTCCCTGCGTGAGGCTGGCGGCGGGCTGACCTGTCAAAACCAGTGCAGTAAACCAGAACACATAACAGCTTTACGGCCATGCCGCGAGCTGCTGCTGCCTCCAGAAATTACGAGAGGCTTTGGTGGCAACGTGGAGGAGGAGGAAGAGGAGGAGGAGGAGGAGGGGGAGGAGGAGGAGGAGGAGGAGGAGGAGGAGGAGGAGGAGGGAGGAGGAGGAGGAGGAGGAGGGAGGAGGGAGGAGGAGGAGGAGGAGGAGGGAGGAGGAGGGAGGAGGAGGAGGAGGAGGAGGAGGGAGGGAGGAGGAGGAGGAGGAGGAGAGGGGGGGAGGGGAGGAGGAGGAGAGGAGGAGGAGGAGGAGGAGGAGGAGGAGGAGGAGGAGGAGGAGGACCCCGTTTTCCTGCGTCGCTCAAACGGGGACACCTCGCTCCGAGGGCGCGGGCGGGAGCGACACCGCGGGGCAGGCAGCGCCCTCCCCTGGCGGGCAGGCACGGGCTGGCGGCGGGCAGCCCAGCGGCTGCCGTGTACGATGCGTGCCGCTCGCAGGCCTTCGCTGCACAGCGGGGCCCAGGACTGACTGCCTAGCAGACCACCCCAACCTACCCCGAAGACCCAAGTTTCGGGTTGGGGGGGTACGGGCTCCACATGTGTTGCTTCGATGCTCCTGACCCCCTGCCCCCACTGGGAATCGAGGGTAAATCTGGGCCTTCGGGTTGCGTACGGGTGCTTTGGTGGGTGGGGAAGGACCGCGGGGCTAGGTGATAGCAAGGTTCGTTCGGAGGCAACTTCTGGGAGGCCTTCGCTCGAACGATTCAAAGGCGATAAAGCCCGGATGAGGCCGGACGAAGCCCGAAATTGAAGCAGATTTAGCCAGGCTCAGCGGGATGAAGCAGGATTTAGCCAGGTACAGCCGGATCCGCACACACTAAACCGGATATCGACCGCTAAAATACCAGCGCAGATGCAGAATTCAACCTCCCAGGAATTGCATTCTACAACAAGGCATGTGTCGACCCCTATCCCAGGCTTCTGGCGCGGTGGTGTGCGCGCTGTGGCTTGGTTCTCGCCCTCGCAAGGGTCTTGTTGACCCCCCCCCGCCCGAGTCCCCGCCCCTATAAACCGCCTCCTCCTCCTCCTCCTCCTCCTCCTCCTCCTCCTCCTCCTCCTCCTCCTCGTCTCTCCTTTTTCCCTGCTCTCTCCTTTTCCTCCTTTCTCCTTTTCCGTCTCCTCCTCCTGGCCAGGTAGAGTTGGGTGGCGCTCCCTCGCGGCCCTGTATGCCCTCGCATGCTTTTTTGGGGCGCAACGCCCAGGCCCCTCGTTTTAGCAGTGCACTGCAGTGGCCGAGGGGCAGCACCACAACAGCGAAATCTGCGCTCACCATCCTCCTCCTGCTGATCCTCCTCTTTCCCTTCCTCTTTCTCCTCTTTCTCCTGCTCCTCCGGCTCCTCGTTCTGTTCCTGCTGCACGTGTTGATAATGTTCCTCCTCCTTCTCCTCCCTCCTCCGCCTCCTCCTCCTCCTCCTGCGGCGCATGTTGCTCAGGTTCCTCCTCCTCCGCCTCCTCCTCCTCCTCCTCCTCCTCCTCCCCCGACTACTCCCCTAACTCCTGCTCCTCTTCGTCCTTCTCCTTCGCGAGCTGGGCGATCGAAAGTGAAAGGATGGCCGAGGGCATCAACATCGGTTCGCTTGCCCTTGCGGGGGTGGGGGAGCATGGCCCTGCAGGGCCCCGCCGGCCGCGCAGGTCGCTGCCCGATCCGCGGCGGCCCGGTCGAGTGTCGACGGGAGCACCGCGGTGGGAGGCCGGGCAGCACAGAAGCTGGAAAGGTCGGGGCAGGCGCTCGCGGCGGTCCTGCTCGCCGAAACGAGCTTCCACGTCGAGTCAAGGTCCCAGGGAGTCATGTGGCACCACGGTGCAAGAGGGGCCGTCCGAGAGGGGGACGTGCAAGAGAGGAGCGCCTTGGCAGTTCCTGGCCCAAGGCACGTTCGCGATCCAAGGGGTGCCCAGGTCCGCATTGAGATAAGAAGACTGGGACATGAAAGCCGGCCAGATATCATGGCCGCGGCCATGATGGCCCCACCTCCCTGATCAGTACCCCCCTCTTGACCGCCCGAGAGATGTCCAGAGCTGGAAGCGTCGCCGGCGGATGCAGGACACAAGGCCTCCTGGAATGCTCGTCGATCTCGCGGATTGAGCACTTCGCAGGGTGCCCTGGAGTCGTCCTGCGTTGGCCCACGAGGTCTCTGGCGCCTGAAGGACCGATGGGAGAGGAGAAGGGGCGAGGGACAGAGGGACACAGGAGCAGGGAGGAGCCACGAGGCCTCGGGACCGAGGGCCGTGGCGGCCGAGGCAGTCGTGCTTCGGAGGTTTCCTCGACTTCGGCTTTATGGGGGCCATTTGTTTGGCCCCAGGAGGAGGAAGTCCTCCAACTCCTTCACCTCCTCCTCCTCCTCCTCCTCCTCCTCCTCCTCCTCCTCCTCCTCCTCTTCCTCATCCTCCTCTTCCTCCTTCTCCTCCTCCTCCTCCTCCTCCTCCCCTCCTACACCTCTTCCTCAGCGCTGGCTCAGTCGATCCCTCCCTGGGAGACGAGCGGCGAGAGAAACGCAGTCGGGGTCATGGGAGAGGCCGGCCAAGAATGCCTTGCACCAGACGGTGCGCAAGCAGGACGGAAGCCAAAAACCAAACGCGTGCAAATGTTACCCGAACGCCCTCAGAATCCTGCCCATGCATATTGACCACCCGCTCCCACGCTCAAGCTGCGCCACCCTCTGGGTAATGAGGGATGAGCTGGATAACTGCATGGCCAACTTCGAAAAACCTGAATCAACGAATGATGACATCTCTGAAGGGTGGGGGGATGTTGTGTTTTTGCCGCCTTCCGCCGAGCTGTCGCCAGTTTCCGCCGGCCTTCCGCCAGCATACGCCGAGAAAGAGATGACAACTTCGCGATCCCTCCAAGACGAGGCCATTTCTGGAACGCCTCGTATACGGGCGGCAAGAGTGTGGCGCCTGGCAAGTGCCGAGATGAGAGCGCAATTCCGAACAACAAGAGACGCTCCGGATGAGAACATGCGCGTAAAAAACAGCATGTGGCATCCAGTGGAAACACCTATGCGCGGGAATGGCGGGTGAAGCAAGCAGTGGTGATCAGGTGGGAAAGGGAAGCAAATCCGCCGATCATGTCGGCATGTGTGAGCTGTTGTTTTCCGTTGGAGCAGTCGTCGTCGCCGTCGCCGCTCCCGTCCTTTCCCTGGGCCCTCCTCCTCCGGCGATCCAGCCAAAGGAGGTCAAACAAAACCACGATGAATCCGAAGGGAAGCCCCCTACTTTGGATCCCTTCCCTGCTGAGGGGGGGGGGGGGGCGGGGGGGGAGGATCGCCGGCGGGTGTCCAGAGGGGGGTTCCTGGACGAGGGGGGCCTGGGGTCGTGGCGTCCCCCCCCCAGGGGAGCCCTCCCGTTGACAAGCGGGACAAGCGGGGTGGTCTCCCTGTGGGCGGGGGAACTCAGGACCCACCTCCCCCCCTGCGGACAAGGGGACCGCCACCCCTCCTCCTCCTCCTCCTCCTCCTCCTCCTCCTCCTCCTCCTCCTCCTCCTCCTCCTCCTCCTCCTCCTCCTCCTCCTCCTCCTCCTCCTCCTCCTCCTCCCTCCTCCTCCTCCTCCTCCTCCTCCTCCTCCTCCTCCGCCCCCCCTCGGAGGCACCCTCACCACTCTCATCTGCTGTTGCGGGGTGCTGCGCATTTCCCCACATGCCTTCACAAGGCCACAGATCCGCTCCGAAGCAGCTCCAGGTGACCACGGAGCTGCCCAAGAAGTCCCCCAAGAGGCAGCCTAACATAGCCCATGAGGCTCCCAAGAAAGCCTAAGATGGCCTGCAGAGCGTCGTCGTCGCCGCCGTCGCCGCCATCGCCGCGGCCGTCGTCGTCGTCGTCTTCGTCCTCGTCGTCGTTCCCCTTCAGGGTCGTTGGCACTGGCCACCAGGTATTCCCAATTCTACTAATGAGTGAGCGCAGCAAGCGAGTACAACAAGAAAGCTTGCGATGAGAAGTCTGGGGTACATGATTCGTCGACTCCGAGCTCCGTGAGGTGCCTCAGGGCTCGGCGGGCCGATCGAGGGGCAAGATGTTATCGCGGGGCAACCGTTGGCAGTCCGGCTTCTTTCTCGCTGTGCCCACTGTAGCTCCAGGAGGGGGCAGGACGGTGGCAGGCACCGTGGCGAAAGCGCCATGTGGAAGGACCAAAGACTTCCTGAGCAGGATACCCTCCGCAGAGGAGAACTCGGCGGCGAGCCCAGGGGGGAAGTGAGAGGGAGCAGGACTTCTCAGAAGGCGGCGGGGCTTGTTAGGAGCCCCCCCGCCTTCTGAGAAGCCTCGGAAGGCTTCTCGGAAGCCTCAGGCAGTTTCTCAAAGACGCGGCCCACCGCCTTATGAGGAGGCCTGCCCCCTTTCGCGTGTGGGTGCGCGTGCGCGTGCGTATGCGTGTGCGTGTGTGCGTGTGTGCGTGTGTGCGTGTGTGCGTGTGCGCGTGCGCGTGCGCGAGCGCGTGAGAGTGTGCGTCTGCGTGTGTGTGTGTGTGTGCGTGTGTGTGTGTGTGTGTGTGCGTGTGTGTGTGTGTGTGTCTGTGTCTGTGTCTGTGTCTGTGTCTGTGTCTGTGTCTGTGTCTGTGTCTGTGTCTGTGTCTGTGTGTGTGCGTGTGTGTGTGTGTGTGCGTGTGTTCGTGTGCGTGCGTGCGTGCGTGCGTGCGTGTGTGTGTGTGCGTGTGTGTGTGTGTGTGCGTGTGCGTGTGCGCGTGTGCGTGTGTGTGTGTGTGTGGGTGTGCGTGTGCGGGTGCGCCTGCGTGTGCGCGTGGGCGCGCGAGTGAGCGCGTGTGTTCGTGTGTGCGTGTGCTTGTGCGTGTGCGTGTGTGCGTGCGTGCGTGTGCGCGCGTGTGCGCGCGGATGTTCGTGTGTGCGTCTGTGCGTGTGTGCGTATGCTTGTGTGAGTGTGTGCGTGTGTGCGTGTGTGCATGTGCGCGTGTGTGCGTGTGTGCGTGTGTGCGTGTGTGCGTGTGTGCGTGTGTGCGTGTGTGCGTGTGTGCGTGTGTGTGTGCGTGTGTGCGTGTGTGCGTGTGTGCGTGTGTGCGTGTGTGCGTGTGTGCGTGTGTGCGTGTGTGCGTGTGTGCGTGTGTGCGTGTGTGCGTGTGTGCGTGTGTGCGTGTGTGCGTGTGTGCGTGTGTGCGTGAGTGCGTGTGTGCGTGTGTGCGTGTGTGCGTGTGTGTTGTGTGTGTGTGTGTGTTGTGTGTGTGTTGTGTGTGTGTGTGTGTGCGTGTGATGTGTGTGCGTGTTGTGTTTGTGGGTGCGTGTGTGTGGGTGTGCGTGTGCGTGCGTGCGTGCGTGCGGGCGGGCGTGTGCGGGCGTGGCGGTCGGGCGGGAGGGCGGGCGGGCGGGCGAGCGGGCGGGCGGGCGGGCGGGCGGGCGTGCGAGCGTGCGGGCGGGCGGGCGGGCGGGCGGGCGGGCGTGCGTGCATGGGTGTGTGCGTGTGTGCGTGTGTGCGTGCAAGGGTGTGTGCGTGCATGGGTGTGGGCGTGTTTATGTCTGTCTGTCTGTCTGTCTGTCTGGCTGGCTGTCTGTCTGTCTGTCTGTCTGCCTGTCTGTCCGTTTGTCTGTCTGTCTGTGTTGAGTGTTGTGTAATGTGGCGTGTGTGTGTGTTGTGTGTTGCGGTTGTTGGTGTGCGTGAGCGCGTGTGCGCGCGTGCGTGCGTGCGTGCGTGCATGGGTGCGTGTGTGTGTGTGTGGGTGCGTACGCGTGTGCGCGTGTTCAACTTGCGTGTGCGTGTGCTTGTGCGTGCGTGCGTGCGCGCGTGCGTGCTTGTGTGGTGCGCGTGTGCGCGCGCGTGCGCGTGCGCGTGCGCGTGCGCGTGCGCGTGCGCATGTGCGTGCGCGCGTGCGTGCGTGCGTGCGTGCGTGCGTGCGTGCGTGCATGCGTGTGTGCGTGCATCCGTGTGTGCGTGCGGTGTGTGTGTGTGTGTGAATGTGTGTGTGTGTTTGTGTGTGTGTTTGTGTGTGGTTGTGTGTGTTGTGTGGTTTTGTGTTTCTGTGTGTTTCTGTGTGTGGTTGTGTGTGCTTGTGTGGGTTTGAGTGTGTCTTTGTGTGCGTGGTGTGTGTGGTGTGTGTGGTGTGTGTGTGTGCGTGGTGAGTGTGGTGTGTGTGGTGTGTGTGGTGTGTAGTGTGTGTTGTGAGTATGTGTGTGGATGTGAATTTGAATGTGAATGTGTGTGTGTTGTGTGTTGTGTGCTGTGTGTTGTGTGTTGTGTGTTGTGTGTTGTGTGTTGTGTGTGTGGTCTTCGACGCATGGGCAACCAACCACTGGACCATCACCAAGCCCAGGACAAGCTGCAAGCGATCCGCAGACAAAAATAGAAGACGCCCCCCCCCGGGCACGAGGCGGCCATGCGGGGCGCGCCGCTCCTGCACCTGCTGCGCCAGCCATTCCTTCTGCATGGCGCGCTGCTTCTTCTGAATCTCGGGGGGGGGAAGACGTGGAGGCCACCACCCAGAGATCCCACGTATTGAAGAAAACACGACGGAGGTTTTTTACAATTTTCGGCCTCTAGGGGCCCTCGCCAGGCCTCGGGACCGTCAAAAACGACTCAGGATGAAAAACCAGTCCTGAGAAATGGGTCGAGACTTCCGGGGATCACGTATTGACAAAATCACGACATCGGATGTCTGGGCAGGTGTGAGCCCTACCGCTGCAGCTCGGATTTCTGAAACGCTGGCTGGGGTTCACAACTCCGAGGAGGTGTATGCAGCCAAGTGAACCCGAGCGGGGGAGTTTGATACCCAAGGGCCGATTTGGACCCGCAACGGCAGGTTTTTTGAACTGGTCGCACAGCATGGCGGGTGCGTGTGCATGGGGATGTGGCAACAATCAGACAACCAGACCCAAGCGTTTTATAGACATGCCAAGCTGTCAGAGTCGCCGTCACGAGGGGAGGGCAAGCACGAGGCCGTGGACTGCGCTGCCGCAACACTGCGGCGCCGGTAGCCACATCGGAGAACAGCCTGCAGCCGAAGAACAGTACACTGCCCGCGTGCTCCACCAGCGGTATACGGCCACATATCCTACGTGGACGACGCGACGTCGAGGGCTGTTGAGCAGAAAGCCTCCCACGGGAAAAAGCAAAACAACGAAAACAAGAGATATAGAAAGACCGGCTGCGACTGCTGACAGGGCCGCGAAATCGCGTGCTGCAGGTTCGTGTCGTGTCGACACCAGCATTGGTTCCTGACACCGCGCCGTTTGTTCAACCTTGAATCATCGGCCGATTCCGAAACGCAAGATCGTTCAACACCGACCGATTCTGGGTCGCCGGCGGCGTTCAACGTTGAACGCCGGCGGCGGGGTCGCCGCCGGTCGACACGACGCGAACCTACCGCAGCGTGGTCGGCGGAAGAAACAGCACACGGCCCGTGTGCAGCACCAGCGGTTATCAGGCCCAGAGCTCCCGTGGACGACGCGGCGCCGATGGCGGTGGAGCAGAGCGCCTCCCGGGAGAAGGCATCAAAACAACAGACAAACAAAAAAACAGCTGTGCGTGCTGAGCGGCACGCGGACAGAAGGAAAAGCGCATCCAGGGTGGCGGCCCCCTACCCCTTGCACATCTAAGGCAGGGCCATGAATCTAGCGCCGCGGCCAAGAAACACCGCTGCGCTTGGTCCTCGGGCAAGATCGCATCATCTGCGCAAGCGACCGGCTGATCAGCCGCGAATCTCTGGCAAGATCGATCGGGTGATCAGCTGGTTGGTCACCTGATGGTTGTGACGGCTGCGGCAGCACATCCTCGAGGTTTTCTTGGCACTGGGCTGGTCACCGCGAGCTTTGAGGATGTCCGAGTGGCACGGCCGCCTTTGGCCATGCCGGCGGCGTCGCGGTGACAGTTGCGCCGAACTTCTCAGCGACGTGGCGTCCGACTTGCGGTCGCAGAAGCGGCAGGAGTCCGACTGCGTAGATACCGGAGTCGAGCTGCCCAGCCCCTTCGAGCCGCGCAGCGCCGCACTGCGCGGTTCCTCCTTACTCACGTCGGCTCACGGCTGGCGCGCTTCGCTTGCTTCGTGGCGCAGACGATTGCGCTACGCACTGCGGGACGCGCAAAGCATGAATGATGTCGAGCCCTATTACTAGAGGCCTCCTAGATGGGGTCGGAGTAGATGGGGTCGGAGGATCGCGCCACATCGCCGATACATCGGCGATGCATCGGCGATGCACCAGCGATTCATCGTTGACGTCGGCAATGCATCGGCGACGTCGACGTGAAGCAAATCGGTCCCCACATCGAGCCGCATTGCCGATGCATCGGCGATGCAGCGTGATCCTCCGATCCCATCTACTCCGACCCCATCTAGGAGGCCTAGACTTACCTCCCCCAAAGGAGAAGAAAATGATAAGGGGGATTGGGAGCCGAACCGCGAGCCGCACACTTCTTCGGGCCATCGCAGGCGTCCCGGCTAACTACTATGCCGTACCGTAGTCCTGGCCACCCTCTCCAAAAAGCTCTACACGGTTCCGGACGGCCGCTGCGTCGGACGCAGGGTCAGCGCTTGACAACGACACGCGGGCCGCGAGGTGTCTCTCAGCCAGCATGTTCTCGAACTGCTTCAGCTACACGCACGAGTGACCCTGGCTAAGATTGACCTTTGGTGCGCGGCTTTTTGGGGCCGCGGGGGGACCAAACACAAGCGCGCAAGCCGCTACTATCGCATCGCGTTCGGTGATCGGGGGACCCGAATGGGCCCGCACCAAAGGTCACTCCGGCGAAGGGTCACTCTTGCGTGTAGTCGACTTCTGAGCGCCTAGGCGCGCTGCATCCTTGCAGTGCCTCGGCGTCCGATTTCCGGTCGCCGCCTCACAGTGGGACACGTGTTTAGGATCCCCAGCGGAAGGTTGCTGGTTGCTGCACTCTACCTCCAGGATCCGAGGGCCTCGGTAGCAGGCGATCGCCTCAAGTGATGGAACATGAGCCGTCCGTTCGCCCCTCACCCTCCCATGGGAATCGCTTCCAGCAGCGAGCGAGGCTGACGGTCAGGAATTTTTGCCTAGCGCGTCGCGACGGCGGCCCCGGCGACACGATATGCCCTGCAAGCGAACAGCGTGTCGCTCCGCCCCGCGTGGTGAGAGGCTCGGGATAGCTCGGGACGTTGACGCTTGGGGATGGGAGCGCGGATCGCGTGTCGCGCCGTAGCGTGGTGGGCCAGAACTGGCGAGGCGGCACGCGAAGCCAAAGCTCCTGACCGTAGCTCTACTAGCAGATGCTTCGTCGAAACAGCTCGTGACGAAGGCCATGCACTCATATCAGACCAGAGAGTCCAGAGGAGCGCGCTCCCTTAATGACGATTCACCCCCGGGTGGCCTGCTTGCGCCGCTACTTGGGCTGCACAGGCAAGAGATCCCAAACCATGCCACACTTCGATGCCGCTCACTTCATGGATGAGATGCTGAGGAAGCCACGGCCTGGCTCACCGTTAGGCCTGGCACGTCTGGCACTCACGGCACACAACACGCAGCCCTCTCTAATCTGGCGAAGCCTTGTTTTGCTTCCACTGGCTTCCAATGCCATCCCGATTCTGAGCCGATTCCAAGGTACCCCTGCTGGCCTCTGCAGCCTGCCCGCCATGTTCTACCAGGAAGGATGCTGCAAACCTCTGCCATCGCTGAACAGCGAGCCGACCGTGTAAATGATACATGGAATCCTGGACGCCGCCTGGACAACACTGAATAGTAGTGGGCGGGTGGGGATTTGCGTACACCTAACCAGTGTAAGGACAAGATCAAGTGGCCGACAGAAGCAAGACAAGAGATGGTGAAAGCGCGCTGCAGAAATATGAGGGAAGTCATGGATGGCTCGTGCGGCAACTCGAGACCCAGTTTGCGCCGAACTCACGTCGGATGCACGTCGGATGTATGTCTCATGTACGTCGGATCCTCACCGCGCGAACGCTGTCGCATACCTTACGACAGGGCGAACGTGTGAACTGGATCATGAAACTATTGCGTCCGCGTGAGGCCACCAGGACTTTCGAATAGTAAAAAGGAATGGTAAAACCGAGGGGTCGATCAGAACTACGGGTGGCTGGCACCGCACTGGATCGGAGCTCACGCACACTTCTGGGCTTCTTGAAACTGAAAAGATGAAAAAAGCAAGTGTGGAGAGGTCAGAACCCTATGTGGAGGAGACGTGCCACAGATTTGCTCGATACCGCAGCCATTGTCAAATTGATCAGTGAGACGGGAGAGTCGGCTGGCATACCTGACCACGCAAGCACCAAAGACACTTACACTGACACCTCTTGGGTTCTACTCCCGCTGGCTTCTTAAAACGTTTACCAAAGCCAAACAAACAAATCGCTTGTCTGTGCATGCCCGTTGGATTTCTGTACCGTCATACTGGGGCGCACCAGGGAACAACCACCGACACCAGTATCCTTGAACTGATGCATTCCGAATGTACGCTGGTCGCGAGAACAAAAGCAGAAGGCTTAGAAGCGTGGAGCAGCCTCTTTGACATCCAGATCGCCTTGGAAATTCGTCATGGCAGCCGCGCCCAGTTCACGGCCGTCGGACTGAAGGGGATTTCATCATGGCAAGAAAACGGAACAGAGTTGTGGCAACGCCACGCAACATGGAAGACTCGGCAAGGCACGTTTCTGATGTTGACGCGCAGAAGCAAACAACAAAAAACATGGCTTAGCCTGCCCACGAGCCAAATGCCCTTACACGCCGTCGCTCACGCAAATTGCGCGTGAGATTCCAATGCTCACGCGCACAGTGCAGTCAAGTGAATATCAGATCCCATCACATCGTGCAACCTGGATACCTTTTCGCGCAGACCTGATCGCACATGCCATGACTGGCAGCGGCCATGCTGCACCCAAGGGCGACAAGGCTGGATCATCGGCGCGGCCCCGATGCCATCCTTTGGCAGCCGGGCATTCTTCAATCGGTTTGGGTCGCTGAGGTCGTACTCTCGGCGCGACTCCTGAGGGCGAGAGAGCAGCAGGAAGCAGTGGCGCGTGCACAGAACGTTGCCCAGCCCTCCACGTCGCCGACCGACGTCTCGATCCTGCAGCCCTATTTGGAGGTCGAGAAGACAGGCTGGTCGCGGTGCTGTACACGTCGTTCGATTCTAATCGCGCTCATTTATAATTGTGCTCGTTTCTAATTGTTCCTGGCCCCTAGTGGCCAGGAAGAGGCCCGGGATATAACAATCCGAAATGAAAGGATCTTGGCCCCCAAAAAATGAAAGAACTTTCGAACAATTAGGAATGAACCATGTGTAGAGAAAGAAAAAGAGGGCAGCGCGAGAGGCACCGCCCAGGGGATCCAGCGCAGATCCAAGAAGTCTGTGCGGACCGTTGAAAGCTGTCCTGCTTGTGCCTCTGTGCGTTCTTCGACGTTGGCCGGCAAGGGCGACCGAGATCTGCACGCGACCGTCCTATCGACCCTGACCTGGGTCTCTTCGATTCTGGACCCTCGAGCCGGGATCCTCGGTCCTCGATGCTCGCTTCTCGGTCCTCGATCTTGCATCCGCGATCCTCGCCCCTGAACCCTCGATCCGCGGTCCTGGATCCCGAACCCTCGATCCTCGATGCACGATCCTCGACCCTCGATCCTAGCGGCGCGCATCACACACACACACACACACACACACACACACCGCAAAACACATCACGCAGCCATCTTCGTGCCACCGCGCCCTCGCGCCCCCCCCCCCCCCGCCCTTCGAAGAAGGGCAAGCGCCGAGACAAGCGACGCGCGAAGCGCGGCGAGCTTCGCGCCCCCGCGGGCCACCTGGAAATTGCGACCACGCGCCTGAGAAATGCTCGGGCGGGGCCCCAACGCTAGGGGAACGAACAATGACATAAACATAAAAACTCGGAGGTCCGCACGGATTTCTCGGATCCGCGCTGACCCCCCTGGCGGCGCCTCCGACGCAGCCCCTGGCGCGCTCCGCGCGCCAGGGGGAGGGGTCCAGCGTCTATCCGAGAGATCCGCGCGGACCTCCGAGTGTTTTTTTGTTTTCGTCATTCGTTCCCCTGGACGCCCCACTTGCGAAGCAAACGATTAAAAGGATGGTCACGGCTCGGCGTGCTCGTCGTCGCCTTCGAGTCCGCCAGGCCGCAGCCAGCGACCCAGGCCGTGAACAGATGTGCTTGAAGTCGTCCCCGCCCGAATTGTTCTCCATCGCTCGGTCGCCTTCTGGGAGCAGGCGAGCACCCCTCTCCCCCCCGACCTGGCCTCCTCCCTCGAGGGGACTGGGTAGGGGCGGTGAGCACTTGTTGTGTAGACCGTGAAGGCATTGCACTAGGATCCGTTGGATACGGCACCAAGGGCCTGGAGGCCCGTGGGACTCCAATCTTGGACTGGCCACGGATACCCACCACCGTCCTCATCAGACAGGGAACCCCCCGGGGTCTGAAGCCCCCTGGGCACAGTACCTAACGAGCGCCCCCGCCGTACCCTCTTTGCGAGACATCCTCGCAATCGGGAGCCGAAGCTCTCTGGCCCAGCCCCAGATGGGAAGCATGGTAGGGAGGGGTGGAGGTGCGCATTCTCTCCCTAACTACGGTCGGAAACCTTGTGTCGCGGCGGCGGCCCTGGCGACACACTATGCCTGCAAGCGTATAGCGTGTCGCTCTGCTCCGCGGGGCGGGAGCCTTGGAAAAGCTCGTGACACTGACGTCTAGGGACCAGGGACCGGGACATGGATAGCGTGTCGCGCCGAAGCGTGGTGGGCCAGAACTGGTCCGCGCGAAACGCAAAGCCAAAATTTCTGACGGGGCTAGGACGAGAAGAAATCCGTTCCAGAAGGTCGCGGCGCCCGAGACATCCTCTAGAGCCGCTGGACCTCAAAGATTCTCAATTTATCGTCACCCGATGTTATCCTCGCCCTGGCCTCGACAGAACAATCTGTACCGTAGATCACGCGGCCGAGCCGAGACAATCTGTCGACCAGGCCTCGCGGCCAGTCGTGGTGCGGCCCCCTCCCCTGGCTGCCCGATGTTGTCCAACACCGGCAACCGCCGCTGTTGGGCAGGCGGCCTTCTGTCTCAAATGGACCACGTCCGTGGCGACACCGACAGCGAGTCCTGCGCAAGATGCGCAGGGAGGCTGTGTCTTTCTGGACTCCAAGCAGTTCACTCGCATAGCATGCCAAACCCCCTTCGCCGCCTTTTGCAAGAGCGCGGGGTCGAAAAGGCGTGTAAGTAAATCCCGATGTACGCCAAGTCCAGATTCCGTTTCGGGGCCAGCGCCGAGGCAAAAAGCTGCCCGGACCGTCGAAAATTTATATGTATGCTTATGCCGTTTGCCGTCCTTCGACTACAGTCGAGATCGATTGGAGAGGGCACGCGAGAGGACACAATACCACTGCGAGAGCCACACTGCCGAATGCAAACGGAGGACAGGGGTCGCAAAACACAGGACACGAGGGCACCCTTGACTTGCAGAGGTCAGCCCCGCCTACTCAAACTCGACTGTGAAGCACTGCTGCCTCAACAAGCTGTCAGTCTTCGTGCCCAGTCCCTCTGTTGAGAGGCCTCCCGGATGTGGTCGGAGCAGATGGGGTCGGAAGATCTCGCCTCATCGGCAATACATCGGCGAACCATCGCCCATGCATCTGCGATGCATCGGCCATGCACTGGCGACATCGGCGATACATCCCCGACGCCGGCGTGGAGACAATTGGGCCCCACATCGAGCCGCATCGCCGATGCATCACCAATGCATCGGCGATGCGGCGCGATCCTCCGACCCCATCTACTCCGACCCCATCGAGGCCTAGATCCCTACCGAAGCAGGGGCACGATGCCGAAGGCTCCGGTCGCCCGCCCGCCCGTGCGGCCTCCGCGAAGGGTCCTTCCTCATGCCCCTGGGGGTGGGAAGCACCTCGCAGAAACGCTGCCCGGAAGACCAGGAACTGCACACATGCATGACAGAGAGCCTTCAACATCGAGGCACAATCCACACAGCAGTGTCCAAAACTCTACTGACGTCGCGCGTGCAACACGCTCCCACAACTGACCTGGCCGACGCTGCCGACACTGCGGTGCAGCTCGCTCGGGCCCCAGCACCGCGTCCCTTCCACGGGGCCCTCGGCTCCCAGAGGTGCCCAGCAGGGGGCAGAGGCGCGGAAATCCAAGGAGCAGGGAGAGAGGGCGCATGGCCCGAGCTTCCCTCCAGTGCCGCTGCCCCGCGCCCCTTCCCGCATCCTCCGACAGTGGGAGCCCGACCACAAGAAACCTTCCACAAGAAACCCAACCCCGAGACCCCAGGACGTCCACTTGATTCTTGGTGAAGGAACGTCACGCTTTCCATGGCAAATCCATCGAAGCCCAAGAAACCCAGGGCACCCTGGATGCAAGCAGGGTGTTTCTTGGCACGGGCCTCCACTGCATCCCGAGGGACCGGCTCGGGGCGGAAACATCAGCTTGGAGCTGGCGATACATCGCCCATGGATCGATCGGCGGCAGGGTCCCATGAGAGAATCCGCACGGTCCTGTGCGGGGGGGGGGCTATCGGGCCCCTGTCGGCGGTCAGTGGGCGATCCTGGGTGGATGCACCCACCTCAGCCTACTCTCAGGTCGGGCATGTCCTCCTACAGCGGGATGTTGGACAACAATAAGAAATAGACAAAACATGCTCAAACACTGTCACACAAAAATGCACTAGAAACATCGTCCCCACACTATTATTTGACTATTTTGGAATAGTCCTCCTGTAGAGGGACGTGCCCGACTTGAGCCTACTCCCTGACGCTACCCCAGATCCCGACCCTCCCGTCTCAATCCACCGCTCCCCCCCCCCCCCTGAGGGCCATCGGCTGGCCTCTGCGCGCGCCGTCCCTCAAGGGCGCCTAACTGCGCGCTGCGCGCTGCGCGAAGCGCGAATAGCTTCGCGCTCTCGCGCCGCCCCCCCCAGAGAGAGAAGAGGAGGACGAGCAGGAATCGGAGCCGAGCCGCGCAGCGCGAAGCGCGAAGACATTCGCGCCCCCGAGGGCGCGCCCTTGTCCTTGCTCAGGTTCTGCAGCGAGTACTGCACGGTCTCGACCTGCTTGTCCCGCCGGTACCTGCTCTTCGCCTCCTGCGGGGAGCAGTGGGGCGCCCAAGAGTCGAGTAGGGGCTCGACTGCATCACTGATTTACCCCAGAAATCATGCTCTCGTCGGATCTACAGAAAAGACTTAGCGTTCTCAGTCGATGTGCGAAATTACGCGCATTCGTCGCAAATTGATGGGGAAAATAGAGTTGGGGGTCAATCGATTCTGTAGTCGATCTCCTATTCGAAAGAGGGGGACGGTGCGCGATCCATTGCCGGAGGCGTGTTTGCGCGGACGCGGCAGGGGCCGTCAGCTCTGGGAGATGTCGCGACCCATGGCATGAGATCCCCCCCCTGGGCTATTCGCGCATGCAGTCGCCACACATCTAGCAGGGGTATGTCGACCCCCTATCAAAAGCCTCGTGAGGCTTTCGGGCGGAACAGGAATTCTAGGCCCCATCCTGGAATATACGACCGGGGGCGTCCGTCCTCGATAGGGGTGCGTCCGAAGAGCCCCCTTGGGGTGCATCCCTGGCTGTCCCTCTTTTCATGAGCGCCTTCACATTTCGGGGGTAGGGGGAAAAAAACCATGCGAACATCGAGCCCAGTCGCATGAAGCCTCGCCGAAGGGGAATCAAGACGAAGCCAGGACGAGGATAAATTCGGGCGAGGACACATCGGGGATCTCTGAGATCTGGCGGATCTGGAGGACGTCTCGGGCGCCGCGACCCTCTCAGAGCGTTCTGGAACACTCTGAGGAGCGTTCTGGAACCCCCTGGAACGGACTTATCCTCGTCCTAGCCCCTCCCGAGGAATAGTCACGGGCTATTCCCTCACAGGCTATTCGCACGTACAGTCGCGAAGAGCCCAGGCGATGCTCCCTACGCGTCGGTCGGCAAAAGTGGGTAGAAAGCCGAAGTAGGAAGGCGTTGGAAGTAGATAGGTTCTCCACCCGCTCCAAAAATAATTAGCCTGGCGAAGAACCCAACCATATGCAGTTGTCAGTACCGCAGCTGCGGGTTTCATCTTCAATGGAACTCCCCATAGGACTACGGAACGTGTGAGGGGTGTGCCGAGATGGGTGCCACTGGGGCATTCGGCGAAGCTCCCTATGGGGACATGAAACACGCGCGGGGCGTGCCGACATGGGTGGCGGAAACGCATGTGCAGGCCGCCACTGGGGCCTCCAGTGGAGCTCCCTATGGGTCCCCGAAACATGATGCTGCTGCGGGGGGGGGGGGCCGGGATGGGTGGCGGAGACGCATGTAAGCGCCGCTACTGGGGCCTTCGGTGGAGCTCCCTATGGGGCCACGAAGCGCGTGAGGGGTGTACTGGGATGTGTGGCGGGGACGCATGTGAGCGCCGCCACTGGGGCCTTCGGTGCAGCTCTCTATGGGGCCACGAAACGTGTGAGGGGTGTGCCGAATTGGGTGGGTGTGGGTGACGCATGTGAGCGCCGCCACTGGGGCCTCCGGTGGATGGGGCCACGAAGCCTGTCAGGGATGTGCCCAAATGGGTGTGCGGGACGCATGCGCATGTGAGCGCCGCCACTGGGGCCTTCGGTGGAGCTCCCTATGGGGCCACGAAACGTGTGAGGGGTGTGCCGAATTGGGTGTGCGGGACGCATGCGGGCGGCAGCACTGGGGCCTTCGGTGGAGCTTCCTATGGGGCCACGAAACGCGTGAGGGGTGTGCCGAATTGGGTGTGCGGGACGCATGCGGGCGGCAGCACTGGTGCCTTCGGCGGAGCTCCCTATGGGGCCACGAAACGTGTGAGGGGTGTGCCGAATTGGGTGTGCGGGACGCATGCGGGCGGCAGCACTGGGGCCTTCGGTGGGGCTCCCTATGGGGCCACGAAACGTGTGAGGGGTGTGCCGAATTGGGTGTGCGGGACGCATGCGGGCGGCAGCACTGGGGCCTTCGGTGGGGCTCCCTATGGGGCCACGAAACGTGTGAGGGGTGTGCCGAATGGGGCATGGTGCGGGACGCATGCGGGCGGCAGCACTGGGGCCTTCGGTGGGGCTCCCTATGGGGCCACGAAACGTGTGAGGGGTGTGCCGAATTGGGTGTGCGGGACGCATGCGGGCGGCAGCACTGGGGCCTTCGGTGGGGCTCCCTATGGGGCCACGAAACGTGTGAGGGGTGTGCCGAATTGGGTGTGCGGGACGCATGCGGGCGGCAGCACTGGGGCCTTCGGTGGGGCTCCCTATGGGGCCACGAAACGTGTGAGGGGTGTGCCGAATTGGGTGTGCGGGACGCATGCGGGCGGCAGCACTGGGGCCTTCGGTGGGGCTCCCTATGGGGCCACGAAGCGTGTGAGGGGTGTGCCGAATTGGGTGTGCGGGACGCATGCGGGCGGCAGCACTGGGGCCTTCGGTGGGGCTCCCTATGGGGCCACGAAACGTGTGAGGGGTGTGCCGAATTGGGTGTGCGGGACGCATGCGGGCGGCAGCACTGGGGCCTTCGGTGGGGCTCCCTATGGGGCCACGAAACGTGTGAGGGGTGTGCCGAATTGGGTGTGCGGGACGCATGCGGGCGGCAGCACTGGGGCCTTCGGTGGGGCTCCCTATGGGGCCACGAAACGTGTGAGGGGTGTGCCGAATTGGGTGTGCGGGACGCATGCGGGCGGCAGCACTGGGGCCTTCGGTGGAGCTCCCTATGGGGCCACGAAACGTGTGAGGGGTGTGCCGAATTGGGTGTGCGGGACGCATGCGGGCGGCAGCACTGGGGCCTTCGGTGGAGCTCCCTATGGGGCCACGAAACGTGTGAGGGGTGTGCCGAATGGGTGTGCGGGACGCATGCGGGCGGCAGCACTGGGGCCTTCGGCGGAGCTCCCTATGGGGCTACGAAACGCTGTACTGGGCGGGTGAAACGCAAGGAAGAGGGGGAGGAGGGAGGAGGAGGGGGAGGAGGAGGAGAGGAGGAGACGCGGGGCACCGTCTCTTCAAAACGAGGACCCAACACCACAGGATGGTTGGGAATAAAGGAAAAGGGGAAAACGTTCCTTGATTGAAGTAGGAAGGAGCCTAAAGAAGGTTGGGATCTGGGAATCCAGAAAAACACTTGCAACGGTCCGCGTGAACTCGCACATACAATCGCGAAGAGCTCAGCATGGTGCACTGCGGTGCTATATTGAGGCATGACTCTGGGGCCCTTGTGAAGCATCAGCGGCAGCTGTGAGGCCGATGGATGAGGGGTACGGGAGAACTGGGGGAACGGAGTGAGGGGGGGAAGGGCAACTGGGGAAGGGGAAGCAGGGAGCGGAGAGGAGAGAAGGAGAGACAGAAAGGGGGGGAAAGGTAGAGACGGGGGTAGGGAGAGTGGGCGGTGGGGGAAAGGGACGGGGACGGGGGCAGCTATCGTCCTCCATGACCGCTCTATTTTCCCCTCATCTCCCTCCACTCATCTAGCCCCTGGGCCGGCAGGAATGCCTCCTTACGGCCGCCCCTCCCGCATCGGACCTGGCCCCACGGCCGGCCCTTCCGAGAGCCGCCCACTCAAGACCACCTGCCGCAGGGTGTCCAGCGATGCGCCCCCTCCCAAGGCAGGACCGCCCTTGGGGTCTCAACTTTGAACGCGCATCAACCGCGTGATCCAAAGAGAAAAGGCTCCAAGACGAAAGATGCTAGACCTCGTCTCTTGATCCCTACTCACGCCTTGTCTGCATACTCCCATGAATATCATTTCATCTAAACTCATAAATCCCCACCCCACCCCACCATCTCCGATCCACCTAGATCTTCCCTCATTTCGCCTCAAATCTCGCTTTCCACCCTCTCCCCTTACCATCCCTTCCCATATCATCCCATCAGATCCTCTTCCTTCAATTCCCATGACATCTCCCTGCAAACTCTGTTACAACGTCCTCTCCTTCCGTGCCAATTCCTATAGTATCCCCTGGTATCCTCTCCTACCCTCCTGTCCTCCCTCTTCTCTCATCCCCTCTACTCCCCTTATCTCCTCTCCCGTCCTCCCCTCGACTCTTGCTCAAGATTTCCCGTTCCGTACATATAGGACCAGCCTTCGGGTGATAAGGGGGTTGTTTTGGGGGGAGTTCAGCTTTCGGTTTGCGATTCAGGTCGGATCGGATTCAGCGGAAACCAGGTGGTCATCATGGAGCACATACTGGGCCATCTATCCATCGATCTCGCTCTGTATCTGCCTCTATCGATTTCGCTATCGAACCCCCTGCATCCATCAATCTCACGATCTACGTCCTATCGATCTCACAATCGACCTCACAGACGACATCAAGATCGATCTCACTATCGATTTGTCGATCGATGTTACGATCGACCTCACGGGACACCACGGGACACCACGGGACACCGCGCCACGGGACACTACTGGACACAACGAGACACCACAGGACACCGCGCCACGGGTCACCATGAGACACCACGGGACACAACGGGACACCACGGGACACCGGCGGGACACCCGCGAGCCACCGCTGGAAATCGGACCGGCTCCCAACGTGCATCGAATCGGGCCGCATCGGCACTGGACCGAAGTCGAATCGGATCGGCTGCGCCAAGATGCACAACAGCGCCATGCAAGCATCTGGCCGCATCGGATCGCCCGAAAGCCAGAATCGAATGGAATCGGGCCGGTTGACCCCGATGCCGAATCGGATCGATCGGGTCGACATGGACCCCTGAAGGTGGTTAGGGGTGCACACTTCCGACGTGCTGAAGGGACCCGCCTGGGGCGCTCTCAGGGGCCGTCTCGGAGGCACTGGAGAGAAGGCCCAGGAGGCACAAAGAGTTGAAATCCCGTATTCTGTTGCACAACCGAGCTATTATCAAGAAAGCTAGCAATTAACAGATACGGGCCAGCTGTCCGCAGTTGTCCTGAAATGGTCATGGGCACAGTCATGCTGTTAACGCTGGAGGGGGCGAACGCGCAAGAAGCTGGGCCACGTTTCTGGCAAGTTGGTCAAGAAACGCTTGCCCAGCTTTTCGGCAGGAGGTCTCCTAAGTAGATGCTTGACTGTACGATTGCAGCAGCATCATCTGTTCGGTCTTGCAGCCATGGCGCTGCAAGTAGGGAGCGTCAGATGGGGAACGGAGGGGCTGTCCGGCCACAGCGCCCCTCGGCCACAGATTAGGAACCCCCATTAGATACAGAACGGGCCGAAAACAACAGCCCGTAGTGAGCCCAAATCGCCCCTCACTGCTGGACCTAGGCCGGCAAAAAAAACAGCACACACACACACACACACACCAAAAAAACAGCTTTCAACAACATGAGACCCTCTGTCGGCCAAAACAAACAGAACATCCGAGGGTACCCTCCCCAGGATGCACAAGAACATCCAACAAGCCCGAAGAACACTAGTGTACCCTCCCCGAGCCGACCTCGATCTTGTACCTCGCTCCGACTTTATGTCAGCGTCTTGAATGCAAGAGCGCCCAAGGCGGACGACGAGGCGCCCAAGATCGCCCCCAACAGGGCCTCTTCGCCCTCCTCCCCGAAGATGACACACGAGACGGCCACCAGGCCCCCCCCCCCCCGGAAAAGGCGGGGGGGCCTTGTGGCAAGGGCGGGGGACTTCTCAGAAGCCCAACCGTCTGCTGACAAGAAGCGTTCAAGGAAGCCCCTGCTCTCGCGTGAGGAGCACCCTGCCTCCTCAGAAGGCCACCCACCTCGGCCCCCTATCCTCCCTCCCCATAGCATCCGACAAGATGGTGGTTCCGATCTACGGCCCCAGCATTCCCGACCCCTTCCCCTGGGATAGTTTTCACGCCCCAGGTGCATTTCTGATGGTCCCAGGATGACCTTATGTGGTTGCGAGAAGATGCTGCGTGTGTAAAAAAAATGATGGTCCCAGGACCCGAAAACAGTACCCAGACACCGAGATCTTGTGGAAGACCGCCCCGACTGAAAAATACCACAGCAAAGCACCCTGAGAGCAGCAAAGATCTTCAGTCCGCGCCGACACGGCGTTTGCAGCTGGCCCGAACGCCCTGAGACAGAAAAGACGCCAGGCCAAGGGTGAGAGCACGGCTGTGTGTACCTTGGTTTCCTTACTAGGGATTGTGACAGGTAGCTGGCACTGTGGCGAGAGCACGCCTCTAACAGATCGTGAGGACATTTCGGGCGAAACCGCCACGGGACCGCTGCTGGACTGGGCGGTCTCGGGCCCCACATGACCTCCATGCGAGACGCTTCTGTCCTCTTTAACCGCAACACCCGGAAAATAAAGCATCCCCTTTTGCCAGGCATCTCTATTACCAACGAGAGTGAGTGCGGTTGCATTGAGGCAGCAGGCTGGGAGGCCGAACTTGATTAGCCCCTCCAAAGTTACCAGCGTAACTATGATTGTGAGGATGTCCCAGGCAAAACGAAATACAGACATCCTCACATCGACGCATCCAGGAAACACTTGATTATCCCGCCTGGACCCCGAACTTCATTATCCCCCGAGGAGAACTCTCACCAGCATGCGGTTACCGCGCCCTTCAAGCCCTCTAACAGAACGCCGTTAAAAAGATGACCAGGTCCTCGGATGCATGGGCCTGCCCGCCGACCGCAGAAGTTTGTCACGTGGCCTCGTCTCGTCTCTGCCAGGGGGGGGACCGAAAGTTCGCTTCGAAGCCACTACGGTGCCCGGTGTCGGCTAACACTCGGTTACGCGACGCATTCGGCTATCATGACGGGAACGCTTTGGGTCACATAGTTTGTCGGTTGCACATATTGTTGGCTGATTGAAAGAGAGGCGACGCCAGGATCTCCGAATCCACCCGCATGCTCCTAGAAGCTACTCCCACGGGCAACATCTCCCACAAAAAGGCAACATCTACGCGGACATTGTCCCACAAAAAGGCAACAGCTACTCGGAGTTAACTCGCGCGCGTGCCGTCGACATCACGAGCCAAGAGGAACGCGATCGTGAAGCAGATCCGCAGCCCTAATCGAGAGGGGCGAAGGCCGACGCTCCACGCACTAGCCTCAAAACTAAAAGCTGCTGCGGAGAGCACACGGCCATGTGGCACTGCACGCACTGCCTCCTGCGCGCGCCAGGAGGTCTGGGCCTCCTTCTCCCCCTCCCCCTCCCCATCCCCCTCCCCCTCCCCCTCCCCTCCTCCTCCTCCTCCTCCTCCTCCTCCTCCTCCTCCTCCTCCTCCTCCTCCTCCTCGTCCTCCTCCTCCTCCTCCTCTTCCTCCTCCTGCCCGCCGACCGCAGTACGTCCGATCCACGGCCGCTCCCGCGGCGCGGCGCAGCGGCGAGGCGGCCGCGCGCAGCGGCAAGGCGCCTCGATCGCGTTCAGCACCTGCTCCTGCGCCTGCTGGAGCTTCGCGTCGTCGGCCTCCGGCGCCCGAGGGGGGGGGTCTGGACTCGGCGGGGCAGGGGAGGGGGAGGCGCCTCCTGGAAGGCCTTCACGAGCACGGTCGAGGGCTGCCATGCTATTGTGAAGGGGCCCTGGGACACAAGTAAATACACACTAAGACAAGAGTTCCCCATAGTTTCCCATGTTTTCACATGTTTTCTGGGTTTCTGTCTTCCCCCACCACTGCCCATGTTTTCCCATATTATTTCTGGGGAGTCGACGATTGATCGTGTGTGTGTGTGTGTTGTTTTCCCTCCTGCTATTGGTCCTTCCTCGGGGGAGGGAGGGGGGGTCGGGGCCTCGGGAGGGGTGCGCTGCGATCGCAAGAGCATTCGCGCGAGCACAAGCACGTGGGGTGGGGCCCAGGCCTCTCCCTCCCGCCCGACCGTCGCCGCCACCCGGGGGAGGGGGAGGGAGGGGTGGCTCTGATAACTCGGGAGCGGCAAAGAGGGGGGCGTCCAATAGGGGGGGGGTGCAAATCATGGCCGGCGGCATGTACGCGGCCCAGGGGGGGGGGGGCCAGGGACGTAGTGAAATAAGAAGAGCGCCATGAAATCTGAGGAAATATCATGGCCCCCGCCATGATATCCCCCCCCCCTCGTCATCACCCCCCTCTTTGCCGCCCCCGAATAACGAAGGCCCCGCGGGAACTGGAGGCCCCGGGCCCGAAACTCCGAGGGTTTCTGGCGACACCGATTGCGCGGACTCGTCCGTGTGGGAGTGGCTTCGTGAACGTACACTCCCCATGGGCCTGAGCGGGGGGGCCCCGAGCCGCCGCCAGGCTGTGCGAGAATGGGCGACGAATACGGTGAGGACAGTGGACAAGGAAACATTGAATAAGGAGCCCAGGGTCCGGAAGCTGGTAGAGTCCAATCGTGGATGGGCCATGGAGATCACCAACGCCCCCGCTAGGGAAGGAATCCTCCAGGGTCTGAAGCCTCCTGGGCACATTCCTTCACGAACGCCCCCACCGTATCGAACGCTGGCAGGTAAGCTGGACAAACTTCCTGCACCCCGTCCCCGGGGCCTCCGCCTCGGCAGCAGCAGCCGCCACGATCTGCTTCTCGTTGATCTGGCTGGTGACGGCCTCCGTGCAAACTCCATCAAAGGAAGCAGGGAGGACATGTTCAGCAGCGCGCCGAGGGGCGAGGGGGTGAGAGGTGCCAGGCCTTCCAAGAAGGCGGCGGGGCTTCTCAGAAGCCCGTCGCCCTTCTGAACAGCACTGCGGCTTCGGAAAGTGCTCAGACAGCTGTTCAGAAGGCCCGAGGCCTTGTGAGCCTTCCGCGAAAACCCGCCCCCTCTGCCTTCCCCCCTGGGCCGCCGAAAATAGACCACCAAGAGTCACCCCTGCGAGAAGCAACCGTGCACTTGCACGGGAGCGGAGGCCCCACCACCGTCGTTGTCTTGCTCTTCCATTTCGCGCCCACTGGTTGCACGACATCCCCTCTCCTGCCTCCGCATCGCGGTGCCCCATTGCAACGATGGGACGCGACTCATACAGAGAAAGGATGGCTGATGATAAGACAAACCAGACAGGTGAGGGTCCGGCAACTCCGAGCCGATGCGAAGGTCCCTGCCAGAAGCGGCCTGATGTATGTGATCACGCTCTGTTGAACAAAAAAAACACGAAAAACAAAAAAACGGCTAGAGCTGACCCATCATAATTGTGGCTGTTCCCTGGCCATCCGTCGAGCGAGTACCGTGTCACGTCCAGGCTGCGCTCTGCAGAACGTCTCGCGCGAGCGTTGCCGCTGAGACTGCCGTCGCGTCATCCACCCTAGCATCAACGAGCAGCCAGGCGACGATGAAAGTAGTACAGATGGTAGACAGCGAGACATTGATACAGAAACCGACCACCCACGGCGTTTCTGGAAGGCATTAAGCTGTCCATCAGACTCTGATAGGAAGCTTGTTTGGATTATACCAGTCTGTGGCTGGATTGCCCCTGTGCACCTGCACCGTGCACTCGGCCGAAACATGACGCGCGGCAAGTAATTGAGACACAATTGGATGATGAATGCAACATTATGTGCGCGTGTGCGATAGTGTCCGTCCTGGTTGGCCTTGGTAGTTCTGGAAATCACGGTGGACCGCCCCCCAAAACAAAACAACAGAAATATCCAGAAATTGTCCGTAAGATGTTCCGAAACAGTTCTACGAGTATACTGATAGACTTACTGTGCGTGTTACAATGCATCCCGATGAGTGGCCCCATGGATGCCCATGTTCCACTACGCGGATCAGTTGAGTGAAACAGGGAGTCATGCACGTGGCGAAGATGCTGCAAGCAAACATTCAAACAAAAATGGTAGTAGCAGAGATTGGTATGGCAAACTTCCCCCAAATCGAAAAAAAAACTGTGAGTGTCGTACGGCAGGGCACGCAGCCCCCCACCCCGCCCCCCATCCTTGTTCCTTATTAGAATATACCCCCACCTACCTCGTATTCCGGCCGATAGGGGCCCAATCCGGGACCTCCCATCCGGACTATAGAAAATCAATACAAAGTTGCCGTTTTTCTTCTCAACATCGTCTTTCTTGTCGTCGACGATGCGAAAAGCGTGGCAGGAACGGGACGCGGCGCACATCGCGCGCGGCAGTCAATCTGGGCCCGCCCATCCTGACTGTAAAAAATCAATACGAAGTCTTCGTTTTTTCCTCTCAGCATGCCCTGCCTTGTCGCCGACGGTGCGAAATATGTGGCAGCAATGGGACGCGGCGCACACATGGGACGCGGCGCACATCGCGCGCGGCTGTCAATCCGGGCCGGCCCATCCTGGGTGTAAAATATCAAAACAAAGTTTCCGTTTTTCCTCTCACCATGGCCTGCCTGGTCGTCGGCGGTGCGAAATATGTGGCAGGAATGGGACGCGGCGCACATCGCGCGCGGACGTCCATGCGGGCCGCGGGCCCTCCCATCCTGACTGTAAAAAAACAATACAGAGTTGCCGTTTTTCCTTTCATCATGGCCTGTCTTGTCGTCGACGATGCGAAATGCGTGGCAGGAACGGGGCGCGGCGCACATCGCGCGCGGACTTCTGGGGCAACCCCAAGGCGGGAGTGGCCACCCTACTTGTCAGAAACAATGCCATGCTGATTTTCCCTGCCCACATAGCTGTTCTTGTCGCCCACCCCGCAAAAGTGCATGGCAAGAATTGGGCGCGGCACTCCCCCCCCCCGCTCGAAGTGAATGAAATGACCTTCCCGCTTGGGCGCCGAGCGAAACTTTCTCAAAGTTGCGCTCCCGCTTTGGCTCGGCGCACGTTTTTAGCTCGCCAATTCATTGGGCGCCGGGGCGTTCCAGGAGGCCCTGGGGTGACGAATGCCTGGGAGGTTTTTGCTTGTCCAGGCTTTTGGAGGGCCTCCTGAGGCTCCCCGCGGTTTCTTGGCGGCGTCAGCGGCCGTGTGGAGGCCATCTTGGGCGTCTTGGAGCGATCTTTCGGCGACTCAAGGCCCCCCGGATCGTCTCGGGGGCGTCTCGGCTCTCTTGGGGCGTTCCTGGGGCGCTCTGGGACCTGGAAGTCAGCGCTCTGGGACCTGCGACACTGAAATGCCCGCGCAGCCACCAGTTGTGCCATCACTGTTTCTTATGTTGTGGGAGGGCGGGTGGGAATGGGCATGCCATGCTTGACTCGCTCGAGCTGGCTAGATTGACCCCCACCACACCCCCACATCCACCCGCCGCCGTTGGTTTGCCCCTGCGCGGTGCAGCCATTGCCCATTGCCGATCTCTCCTTGAGGATGCTCGCCCACGCTGCACGGCGCATCCTGGTCCGGGGCTGCCCTACGATGCTCACCAAGCAGTGCTTGCGCTTAGGGGCGTCCCGCTTCCGCTCCACAAGGAATCGGACGGGTACGGCGGGGCTTCGCCACGCTGCGAGCCCATGCCGCCCCTTGAGCGCCTCGTGGGCGCCCCGCGCGTGGGGGGTGCGGCGGGGTTTCGCCACGCTGCGCGCCCATGCCGCCTCGTGGGCACCCGGTTGGCGCCACGTGTTCTGCGCTCACGCGGCAGAGCTTCCCCCCCACGTAGTGCACACCACGCAGCGTGCACCATGCAGCTTGCACCGCATACGTCACACTGCGTGGCGCTCCTCACATAGCTTGCGCCACACAGCCTGCACTTAGCCTACACCGCATAGGTTACACTTACACCACATGGGTTACGTCACTCTTCTTGCAAACCATCGCGTTCACAACCAGGTGACACCGCCTGGCTCACACGACACAGCTTACTCCACGTAGCTTACACCGCATAGTTGTCACCCACACGCTCACCTCAACAGCTCACATTACAGAACGTACCAGCTAGATCTTAAACCACAGAGCTTGCACAGCATAGTTCCCACCTCCAGCTCACACCACATGTACTGCTCGGTACAACGTGCACCACACAGCTTGCAGCGCCGAGCTTCCACCTCCGAAACTCACACCACACAGCTTACACGACGCATCCTGCACCACATAGCTTACAACGCATAGGTGTCAGGACATAGCTTGCGCCACACAGGCCTACACATCGCTTACGCAGTTTTCATCCTCATAGCTCGCGTACCAAAGCGTGCGCGACATTGCTGCCACCACATAGCTTACACCACACAGCGTACGCCGCATATCTTACACCGCGCAGGTTACACTGCATACCCGTCGCCACACAACTGACACAACATCATTTACACAACATCGCGCAAACCGCGCATATGGCGCAAACTGCCTTACATCACCCCATCGTCCAATACGTTGCGTTCATTCCCATTTGACACCGCCTGCTTCACACGACGTAGCCTACCTCGCATAGCGTTCACACAGTAGCCCAAACCAGTCAGCATGCACACATAGGTTTCACACCCAAAGCCCAAGCACCACATCGCTTACACGCCACACCTTAGAGTTCAATGTTACAACGTGTAGCTGCCACCCTCAGCACACACCGCATATCTTACTCGAAACAGCTGTTGCCACATAGCGTGCATCGCACAGCGTTTACCACCGTAGCTCACACCACACGGCTTCCACGACCGATCCTACATCACATAGCGCACAGCACGTATATTTCAGGACATAGCTTGCACCACACAGACAAACACCACAAACATCAGAAGCTTGCACAGGGTTTCAATCCTACGTCTCGAGCCGCATGCCTGATACGACGTGGCTTACACCACACAGCTTACACCGCACAGCTCTCACCCCAGTAGTTCACACCACGCAGCCTACATGGCATGGCCCACTCTTGGGCGCCCCTTGCGCTGGGGGTGGTTGCCGGGGCTGCGCCACGCTGCCGCCCGTGCCGCCTCGTGGGCGCTCGTCGGCGCCCCGTGCGCCTGGGGGGTGACGCTGCCGAGGTTGCGCCACGCTGCCGCCCGTGCCGCCCCGTGGGCGCTCGCGGGCGCTCGTGGGCGCTCCGTGCGCTGGGTGGGGGTGGGGGGGGCCGAGGTTGCGCCAGGTTGCCGTCTGTGCCACCTCGTGGGCGCTCGTGGGCACCCCGTGCGCTGAGCCTACACAGCATGGCTTACACCACACAGCTTCCACACGACCGAGCTCGCCACATAGCTTGCACCGCACAGCTTACACAGAGGATGATGGGGCCAGAGAGTTGCGAGCAGAGTTGACAAGAGGGATGGGAGAGCGAAAGAGGTGTAGAGATGGAGTGAGAGAAGGATAGGTACATGGAGAGAGAAAGAGAAAGAGAGAGAGAGAGAGACAGACGGACAGACAGACAGACAGACAGACAGACAAACAGACAGGCAGACAGGCAAGCAGGCAGACAGGCAGACAGACAGGCAGCCAGACAGAAGAGTGAAAGAGAGAGAGAGAGAGACGCGCAATCACTGCGTGTATATACATGTACGTCTATGTGCACACTGTGGAGCGTAGGCCTGGGATGATGGCGCACAGTGCACAGCAAGGTGTGAGGGCATACAAGGTAAACAGCCACTATATGAATACATCTACATCAGAGAAATATATATATATATACACACACATACAGATATGTATATATATATGTATAAGACAGATATACGGCAGAGAGACGACGACGAGAGCGACAGAGAGAGAGAGAGAGGAGAGAGGGCAGGCACGGAGTGCCTGCGACAACGCCCAGACATCCACGGATCGGGTTTCCGCTCCCTGGCTATTCTTTGGAAGCCCGACATGGATACGACAAAGAAATGGGCACAATTAGGGGACACAACAATGACATAAACATAAAATCTCTGAGGTCCGCGCGGATTTCTCGGATCGGCGCTGGGGCCCACTGGCGGCGCCTCCGGCGCCGCCCCTGGCGCGCTCCGCGCGCCAGGGAAGGGGGCCCAACGCGGATCCAAGAAATCCGCGCGGACCTCAGAGTTTCTATGTTTATGTCACTCTTCGTTCCCCTAACAATGCCCAACAGGAAATGCTATCCAAAACCAACAGCGGCCGCTGTTGGGCAGGCGGCCTTCTGCCTCAAGTGGACACAGGCCGCGGCGACGCGGACAGCGAGTCCTGTTCAGAATGAGCAGGAACTGCTGTTGGGCATTGCACCCATTCTTTCCGTACCCATGTCGGTCGTCCCGAGATATAATATGAAAACAAACGCGTGTGTTTGCCAGGGTGGACCTTGACAAGGGCTCGACCTAAACAGTGTTTTTTGCTTTCGTCTTCCCTCGTTTTGTCTTCAACCCGCCTCTACCGCAAAACGTAGCCGAAACCCACGAAATCGCCAAAACACCGTTTCGGTCCAGGCGCGACCCTGACCAGGGAGTTCTTGCACTCTGGGTGTGTGAACACGGTCCGTCTCCCTCCTGCCACCCGCGCCGGGCTTTCCTCCTCCCTCCCCCGTGCGCTGCGGCTTCATTCGCAGTCGCATGTCCTGCCAATGCTCTTCCACCGGCGCAGTCACTCTGCCTAGGCGCCGGCGTAAAAAGTGTGTGAGCAAGGTGGTGCACAAGATGTAGTGCAAGCTATGCACGCGACAAGCAATGTGGTGCAAGATGTGTGTGTGTGGTGCAGGTTGTACTGTGTAAGTAATATGGTGCACGCTGTGTGGTGCAAGCCCCGTAGTGTAAGCTACGTGGCGAAAACTCTGTGGTGAGAGCGTTGTGGTGCAGGCCACGGAGTGGAAGCTATGATGTGTAAACGCTTAGCGTCGGCGGCTAAGCAGGGGACGTCTGCGCTGGCGATGGGATGCCTAAACGGGGATGCCGTGAAAGCGAAGTGTGCCACCGTGCAAAGAGGAGGTGGAGGGGGAAAGCGCGACCGATTCGATGTCCAAACCAACTTCTATAAGCGATATGCGCAGCTAGTGTTAAGTCGGGCCTGTCCCACTACAGGGCGATTTTGAAGGAAAAATGAACAAAGCCAAAAAAACCTCCAAAATGGCCAAACAAATAATCAAAAGATAGTCCCCAGAGCATTTCTGTGCTATTTTTGACTATTCCTCCTGTAGAGGGACAGGCCCGACTTACAGCTAGTGTGGTGCACACGGCGCGAGGCGCCCACGAAGCGCATACGGCCGCCCACCAGGCGAAAAGCTCGGCAGAGCTGGCAGAGTAAACCGGCGTAAATCGGGGATGGACAGACCCCTCTGTAGTAAAACGCGGTTTCGTGAAAACGACCTCGGGCCCAAACCTGGCGGGCGCAAGCCTGGGAAATGGCGGCCGCGGCGCCCTCTCGAGAACCGAAAACGGAAAATTTACTGATCGACTTGCCAGGGTGGGGGTTCTGTCCACCCCCAAGTAAACAGGGGCGCGCCGGAGGGGAGCAGGGTATAGCAGGGGAGGTTGCCAAAGGGAGGTCCAGATCCATTCCCGTCGAAGGTCGCAATCCTTCTCCGCAGGATCCCAGTTGGAGCCAGCGTCGGCTGGAATGTTACACGGCTGCTTTCCAGAGGGCGCATGGGCAAGGCAGGCACTACACACCTGGCCAATACTGTTTGGATTGTTCAAAGCCGATGACGGGTGACGAAGCCTGCCTTCAACTGCCATCCTCCGCTCCCCCACATATTCTCCTCCTCCTCCTGTCCAGTCATCCCCTTCTCGCCCCAGTTCCCTCACTTCCCTCGCCTCACTACTGTCGGATGATAGCGAGCGAGCAAGCCATCGACAGCCAAACTAAAAAGAGACGAACGCCGACCTTGAGATCTGCACCGTGCGTCTTAGCATACCGTGGGTTCAGCAGATGCGAGCGCCTGTGGCTGAGAAGCGAAGGGTCGCGAAAGCAACGGCTTATACCAGACACCGTTGCGACAGAACGTGTACCACTAGAGGACACGTCTATCAATTGCTGTTCGTTGTTCAATTTCAAATATGCCTCTACCCTTCTGCTCATTGACACTCCCGGGCGCCGATGACAGCCAATCAACCCGCTGACACGGGCTTGCAAACATACCCGTGGAACAAGTTACACCACGTACACATCGCTCCATACCTGCACGCCGTGATTGCATCAAGTTGATACTGGTCCGACACAACGGGTAGACGTAAAGGGTGAGCAACTATTATTTCATGAGAGGGAGTGCGTCGCATCCGTTCGCCATCTGATGCAAAACACAACATGTCATAATGATGGCACTGAGTTCCTGATAGCACAGCCCATCTCGTCACGCACGAAACTGTCAGGAATGCTTTGTGGAGTTCTACGCAAACGTGCAATGATCAACCAACAATCGCCCTATTTCGCTAAATTGCAATATTGAACGCAACTACTCATCGTCATATGAAGCTGGACGAGCACCGAGCCATCTCGTCTTGTCGCTTGCGCATGATCTTTGCCACCATTGCCTCCAAAGCAAGCCCACAGACAAGAAGGTTGACCCTGCATGACCAACTCAACCGATTACTCAAAACGAACAAACACTGCCGGGAGCTACCGTAAGCTCCAATCGAATGTCACTGACATGCGGACCCCATCAGTAAGAGGCTACTCTAAATGTGTCGTGCATCTGCCACGGATCGCTCGTCCGCTACAAAAAGCAGCAACAACGACACATGGGGCGCAATGTCCTCGCCAATGGCACAAACAAACCCTGCCCGACAACTGAAAAAGCGATGTGGCCTAGTTGTGTATGCTGGTTCCCCCCGGACCCTGGACATTGGAAACCTGCCAGCGCACCCATCCGCGTTCAGCCTCTTGCGGAGAGCAGGAAGCAATACAGGGAGGGAAGGGGAAAACAAGGGGAAGAGGGATCCAGGCGGATACACGGAGGGGGTAGGGCAGAGAAGGGTGGGAGATCAGAGCCGTTGGCTCACCCCACGCAGCCTCGCCCATATCCCGCCCAGGAAAATATCAACAGTGCTGACACGAGCGCTGCTATCACGTCTTTGCCTCTCGAGACACGGAAACGTGGGGGGGAGTATTCCCGAGGGCCTTATCATCGGCGGTTCAAACATGGGGACCCTGGGGCTGGGACGAGAACCTGAAAGTGCGAAGGCTCAACGATCGACCCGCTTACCATCCTTAGGGCCACACGTCCCTCAGGGCCCCATGCTTACACCGCCGATCGCATAGCCGCAGGGTGGCTGAAGGCAGGGCCCACACCGGGCCCCGGGGCAGCCTCGGGGGACGCCTGCAGAGCGGTCGTAGCCGCGGTCGGTAGCCGCGGACGCATCAGCCCCCGCGCCACCCGCAGCCTTGTCGGCCGCACGAGCTGCCTCTCCCCCCCCCCGTGCGCAATGAGCCATGTCGAGGTGCCGAGTAGAACATGGCCAGCTTGCCGAGCTCTGGCGCTCAGGGGAAGCGTGAGGGGTGGACCAGCTCAGGGGAGGAAACGTCGAGCCGGAATCGGCGATGCATCGCCGCCGGCTCGGCGCTGTGCCCCCGGAGAGCAGCTCCGCACGGCCTTGAGCAGGGTGGGCTATCGGACCCCCGTCGACGCTCCATGGGCCGTGGGGGGGGGTCGAGGCGTCCCCCCCAGGAGCCCAATCCGCCCCTGCCGCTGCCTCCCGGCTGATGGGCCTGGTTTCCACCACCACCACCATAAGTTGGAGGGGGGAAGGAGGAGGAGGGTAAGGATAAGGAGGAGGGTAAGGATAAGGAGGAGGAGGAGGAGGAGGAGGAGGAGGAGGAGGAGGAGGAGGAGGAGGAGGACCCCCTCCCCCTCCAACTCATGGTGGTGGTGGTGGAAGACAGGCCCATCACCGGCCCTTTGGGGGGACGCACCTCGGCTCGCCTGCGGCCCCTCGGGACGCTCTGGACCCCCCCGCAAAAACGCTCGCGGCGGGGCGCGGCTCCTGGAACGCCGCCCGAGGCTGCAGAGCCGCCGAAGGGGACCCGCAGAGCTCACCACACGAGAGGAACTTCGGGCCTCGAAGCTCCTGCGCTGCCCCTCCGGCGCTGCCCCTGCTGCTCGAGCAGCAGGGGCAGCGATCGAGCCCCCTGCTCGATCGAGCCCCCTGCTCGATCGAGCCCCCTGCGCGATCGAGCCCCCTCCGGCGCTGCCCCTGCTGCTCGAGCCACCTGCTGGCCCCGGCGCGCGACGGGCCCCCGCCGCCCCGGCGCCGGGGCAGCAGCCTCTCCCTCCAGAGAGAGGGCGTGGCAGGGCTCGGCCCCACCAGTCTGCGTCGCCTTCGTCTTCGCCTCGTGTTCGTTCTCCCTCGTCTTCGCCTTCCTTCCGCCCCTGCTGCGGAGCGACGTCGAGCCAAGGTCGGCCCAGGAAGTCGCCAGCACACCGCTTAGGTCGAGCCCCGGGCCATGAGCTCAGACGGTGGCGGGCGCATCGAGCAACTCTCGGTCGTGGGGCCGCTGTATCACGGCACGTCCCGCGGCGGGCCAGGAGGCAGGCTGCCGAGCAGCACTGCAGCACCCCCCACTGGCCCCTCCTCCAGAGAGCGCCAGGAAGCCAGCGGGACGGAGGCGGGAAGCAGGGGGAGTGGGCAGGCCTCCTGAGTCACAGGACACCCCCAGATCCGAGCAGTGTGGTGCTTTCGCAGCGGGCCTTTGCGCCCGGCTTTGGGCCCCAGGACCCTTCCAGATCGATCCAGCTTGAGACATGTCGCAGAAAGATGGGTTCTCGGGCTCCGGCCGTGATCTGTTCGCAATGTTGCGCTTGCTCTTGCGACGTCAGATCTCAAGGCATTCCTTGGAGTGCGCGCAGGGGGTTCCTGCAGAAGCCCCAAGAGACCCCCTGACCTCCTCGCCGCCCTCGCCGCCAGGCCATGACATCGTGCCCCACGTGCGCTTCCGTTCTGCCTCCCCCTGCTGTCCTCCTGCCTCTCCAGTCGAGGACGGCTTCTTTGTCGCAGCTCAGGTCTCCATTGCAGTGACGCTGTCCCCTGTTGCCCCGTCAGCGTTTATCAAAATGGGCTGCCGCTCCTTCACCTTTTGGCGGAACATCTCATGGGCTTCTGCCCAGACCTTGGCGAAATCCTCCGCCTTGTCCGCCCTCCGGTCCTCGATGTCCTCCGCCGCAATCGCCGGCTCCCCCTTGAGCACGCGCTTCCACCATATGATGAGGCCGCCGACCTCAGCTTTCCTAACCGTCAGCTGGATGGACCGTCGGCCACCGCACGCTTTCATCTCCCAGTCCGGGTCCTCCTCTGGCGCGACCTTGTGCTCCCAGTCGCCGCCCAGCACGACGGAGGCGCCCACGGACACGGTCAGGGAGGTCTCGGTGACCTGCACCCGCACGTCCCTGGCCGCCGTGCCATCGGGCACGAAGGCGTTCACCTCACAGGGGTGGGAGAAGCAGGCCCCCGACAGGTGCGGCCCTCGTTTGCAGTGGAGGCCAGGCCACGAGAAACCTTCCGCAAGAAACCCAATCCTGAGACCCCAGGACGTCCCTTGATTTTTGGCGTTGGAAGGTCACGCCCTCCACATCAGAACCGTCGAAATCCAGGAAACCCAGGGCACCCCGGAGGCAGGCAGGGTGTTTCTGGGCATGGGCCCCCGCTGGAAGTAGACGGCGCGCCTGAGGAAAGAATCAAGCATGGAAGGGTGGTGCGGTAAACGCCCAGGATTGTTGAGCAAATGCCACATATGATCGAGCCACTCGGGTCATGGTGATGATAAGATCTGGGATGTTGTAAAACGGTCCCTGTTTCAGAAGATCCGTTTCTGAATTTAGTAAAACGGTTCTTGCATTACTAAACGATGTCTTGTCTTGTTGTGATGAGGCGGCGCAGTTGAATACATCCGTTTCTCGCCTTAGTAACGCATCGCTGTTTCAATGCTTTGCTTTAAGAATGCGCGTTCATTCATTACCATGGCCTACGTTAGCTGGCGAAGAGAAAGAAGCAACACCGCCGCGCAACACCGCGCAACAGTGCACAGCACCGCGCAGCGCCGCTCAACGCGGCGCAACACCACGCGATAGCGCGCCCTCCACCTGAGCGACGCTGAGCGGTGTTGAGCGGTGCAGGTTTCGAAGCCACTTCCCAAACGAAGCCAGGACTCGGACAGATCGGGGATCTCTGCGGTCCGGCGGTTCTGAAAGATGCATCGGGCGCCGCGGCCGGTCCAGGGCGCCCCGAACGCTCTGAGAGCGTTCCAGAACGCTCTGAAACAATTTATCCCGATCCCAACTTCGCCCGAAATGGGAAGACCTAAAGATACCGCTACCGCTACTCCCCAGACCTCTCCCAAGGTGCATTATGACTAGAATGTAGAGGAGAATCCAACCGTGGCGAAGAGGTCTCTTCAGGACGAGCAGCTGTAGTTATCGGGACCTTTCCCTCTGAGACTTACCCCGGTCCTAGCCCCGCCCGAAGAGCCCCGCCCATTGACGGTATTGCACTGGCGCCCCTGACACCAGTGATGGGGAACGACATGGGAGGACCGGCTAAGAGGGGGAGACATCGGGCTGGAATCGGCGACACATCGCCGATAGATCGGCGATAGGCCCCCAATAGCAAATTCTCACGATCCTAGGCGGGGTGATGTTATTGGACTCCTGTCGGCGATCAGTGGCCGATTCGTGGTCGATGCATTCCCGCTGAGCCTACAAGGAAGATGGAAAAAGTGGAAGCTGTCAATCCTGCAGGATAGCCAGAGCTGTGGAGCAACTGGCAAGGGGCGAAACAAGCGCGAACCATCTGGGATGGGGTCGCCAAGGCTGGAAAAACTGGAAGGGAACCGGCTATATGGAAACCAAAGGTACCGATACCGCTACGCCCTGGACCTCTCCCCGGGTGCGTTCTGACCCAAATTTCAAAGCGAATCTAGCCCTGGCAACGAAGGCCTCCCAGGAGGTCAAGAAAGGCGAAAACGAGGGAAGGGGAGCGGTGTGGGTACCTTTTCCTCCTCCAGCGGGGAAGGGCTGCCCCCCGCCACTGTTTCCAGCTTCCCTGCACCCCCCGAACGTTGCCCTTGGCGCCTGCAGCGAGTCCCGCGTCTGGCTCCAGCAGTACCGGTCGGCAACCGTCCCGCCGTTGGCGCGTCGCGCCTCCTGCTGCGGCTGCGCCGCGCCTGGCGTGGCCGCGCCGGCGGCCTGCCTGTGGGCGGACGCCAGGAGGTCCTGCTGGGACCACGGGTGATCAAAAGAGATCTGATGCTCCTCTCCTCCCAAATTTCGGACGAGATGTGTTTGTTGTTCAATCCGGTGGTCGTGTTCCTCGATTTCGGCCCCCAGAGCCAATTTTCGGGGCCCGTGTTCATGAAACGTGGACCCGCGGTGCAAAACGACCTCAGGGAGGGGGTCGGTTTCGTGCACGGTGTGATGTTTGTCCCCGCATGGTGAGAACGCATACGCGGGCAGATCGCAGCGCCACGTGCACATTCTCCTACTGCATGCAAAGGGCCCTAAAGCATATGCCTGCACAGATATGCACAAGTACACGTACACGTTCCCGTAGACATCCACGTAAACGCATACACACGCACATGGACACATCCACGTGCACATGAACGTGCACATGCAAGAACAATGACAGGAACACGGGCACGAGCACTCCTAAAACTACACCTACCTGCACGTGCATTCACACCTCTACACTTATACGCACGCGTACAAAAACGCAAAACCACACACAGATTGTCAAGGCACCCCACTAGATTAAGAAACCACGCACGAGGGCAGGATCCACATGTTAACCCTCACGCAGCTACGCCCTGTGATACGATCGGGTTGTCCAACCAACTGGGCAAACTGTGGGCGCATCGAGATTTGCATATGCCCAACTCTGCCTTAATATCCGCCACCCGTTGGCACAGCCGCCATGGGTCTGGTAACCAAGTAGTGTAGTTCTCTGGCTCCAGCCAGGGCCATTGCGAGTGTGAGATCGCTTGCGGAACTGATACGCTGCGCTCGTCCTGCAACACTATGCACCACCACCTGCGCAACTCAGAAAGCATGTGCTGTCACGCGGGATAGATCGCAACAGCGATACGTAACTCGGGTGATAAGGAAATAGCGAGGGGCGGGTGCAGCTGTCGACTTTCGATTGGCTCCGCGTTGGGTTGGCAACTGGCGTGAACTTAGAAGTGATGCATGTCTTCTAGCCCCCCATGCATCAAACTGATATGGATAATATGACACTGCTTCGGATATTGCAGCACATGTGTACACACGCAAATCCGCAACATACTTGCCACGCTGGGGCGTGATATAATGCTTCTCTACTATGTGTTGAGGGTCCCTCGAATACTTCTTAAGGCCGACCACCCTCATCGCGCGCCCCCTGTAAAAGTCGTCCCCCTCTCCAGAGCAGATTCTGGGCTATTTCCCATAAGAGAATTAATTGAGTTTGGAGGGGCGCTTGCCAAGGAGAGGTTCTGGCCGAGAGATGGAAAACACCCAAACGCAGCCCAAACAAACAAAACCATATCGAACAATCTGAAGAAAAAACGCCGACACGGCCAAAACAGCCGCCCCAAGACAGCCAAGCCCGCGCGGGGACTCCCTGAAACAACCTAGAACTCGGAACACGTGGCAAAAGAACAAATAAGAAAAGAACCCCAACATTTCGCCTACATGCGAGTGACCCTAGGCGAGGGTGATCTTTGGTGCGCAGCTTTTTGAGGGCCGCGGGGGGGACCAAAAACAAACGCGCAAGCCGCTGCTACCGCTTCGAGCTTAGTGATCCGATTGCCACATTGGGCCCGCACCAGCGGTCACTTCGGCGAGAGGTCACTCTGACGTCTAGCCGAAAATTCCCTGCCTCGTCTTCGCAAATTCCCCCCGCTCCTCCTCCTCCTCCTCCTCCTCCTCCTCCTCCTCCTCCTCCTCCTCCTCCTCCTCCTCCTCCGCCTCCTCCGCCTCCTCCGCCTCCTCCTCCTCCTCCTCCTCCTCCTCCTCCTCCTCCTCCTCCTCCTCCTCCTCCTCCTCCTCCTCTCCTCCTCCTCCTCCTCCTCCCTCCCCTCCCCCTCCCCTCCTCCTCCTCCTCCTTCTCCTCCTCCTCCTCTTCCTCCTCCTCCTCCTCCTCCTCCTCCTCCTCCTCCTCCTCCTCGCTGCAGAACTTCCTGGAGGCCAGGGCACTCGGCTCCGCCGGCCAGCCTCAGCGCCTTCTCGAGCAGGCGCACGCCCTCGGCCGTGTCTCCTCTGTATGGAGCAGCAGGGCGGAGGAGGAGGAGGAGGAGGAGGAGGAGAGGAGGAGGAGGAGGAGGAGGAGGAGGAGGAACGAGGACGAGGCCGAGGAGGAGGAGGAGGAGGAGGAGGAGGAGGAGAGGAGGAGAAGGGGAGGAGGAGGAGGAGGAGGAGGAGGAGGAGGAGGAGGAGGAACGAGGACGAGGCCAAGGAGGAGGAGGAGGAGGACGAGGAGGAGGAGGAGCCGCCGTTGCTCCACGGACCCCTCCCGGTGTGCAAAGTGACCACAAACCTTCGAGCAGCACCCAGCCGTGGCGACCCCGAGGCCCTGGCGCTGCCATGTCTTCGCCACGGGCGTCTTCGCCCCGTTTCGGGCCCTGGGACCCTCACACATCGATCCGGCTCGAAACACGACGCAGAAAGATGTTGGAGGCCTGGAAATTGGCACCAACACCAGCCCAGGGGGGTGCCTCCACATGGGGAAGATGATCCTAGATTCCGGTGTTAATGGAAATGTTTCGGCCACCTTGAAAGACAGAATATGACCACCATCACCGAGATCGGGATCTTCTTCCCTCGGTGGAGGTACACCGCCGAAATAGGTGTTGGTGTCAACCTCTAGGCCTTGGAAGAAAGATTGGGTCCAGGGCTCCGATCGTGATTTCTTTTTGCGATATTGTACTCTTGTTCGCAGCGTCGGATCCAGGACCAGCGCCGGTGCACGTCGGTCGGAAGAAGTAGGTAAAAGCATGAAGTGGGAAGGCGAAGAGAGTAGATTGGGTTCAGGCCCTCCCAGAGAAGAAACACAGCAAAAGCATATCAACTCTTGAAGTAGGAAGGCGCTTGACGTAAATGTTTGATCTAAGAATCCCAGAATACCTACTTTCAACGACCGGCATGTATCGTATCGGTACCATTCCCAGGCATCCGAGGTCTTGACTTTTTCAAGACGGAGTTCGCGGAAATACCGGCTCCTTCCCCCAGAGCCGGATGTTCCTCCCACGCTGTTTTTTTTGTGACGGTCCAGAGACCTATAGCCTGGCGATGATCCCTGGAGGCTGGAATCTGACACAGACCTTCGGCCATGTTCTTCCACAGCGCGAGGGGATCTGGGCCGGATGTTGCGAAAAAATACAATGTTGCGGGAAATCGCCACCAGAGCACTAGACACCATCTCTCGATCTTTGAGGGTCCCGGCCCCCGAAACATCGGGCAAAACTGCCCGCTGCGAAAAAAAACATAAAAATACAACGGTCGGATTGGAGGGTTTCACTCCTTCGGGGGCGCGCAAACATGGATTAGCGATCCATTGATTTGGCGCGCGGTCGCCAAATCCATGGATCGCGGGAGGTGCCCTCCCCAAAATGCGGCCAATGCCGCCTCGCTCGGCGGCCGCAATCCGCGACTTCCCGTGGAAACGGGACCCGTCGTTCATCCACGCCCCCTTAATCCATGTTTGCGATCGCCTGACTCCTCGGGAGCACGCTCGCTGTCAGTATCCAACGGTCGGATTCCATCTGGCGATCAAACCGCCTGAGCCAAACGACGTCTCGATGATTTAAACCTTGCCTCTCTAACGGGTTTGAACGTCTTACTCCACTAAATGTCAAACACTTCGAATATCCACCATACTAAGTCAAGCGGAGGGTTTCCCTCCTTTGGAGCACGCTCGGTGTTGGCATCCGTTCCCCCCCCCTCCGATCTCCCCTGCGCAGCGCCCGCTCCCCCAGCTCGCGGCACTGGAGCACCTCCTCGCGGTGGTCGGCGCCCGGGCCCGCGGCGGCCAAGTCCTCGTCGGCCACCTCCATGGGCTCGTCGTCGTCTGCCTCTGGGGAGGCTCCCGCGGGCTCTGCCCCAAAATTTCGTAATGCAAAAAAAGAAGGAGTCACAACCCGCCCCCGATGAGCAGTCTTAGACAACCCCCCGACCAGCCACGAGAGCGCGGCCTTCTTTGCCCAGACCCCGCTGGGACCATCCAAGACAGCTCAAATCAACACCCCCGCCCAAACGTGACCCCCCCCCCACTCACACTGATCCTGCAATCCGGAGTAGCCATAGCTGGGGGAGTTGTGCTCCCAGACCCCCTCGCGTGGCTGCAAACATGACGAAGGAAGGTTTCTCCATGCCCTGTCTCGGGGGGCCCTTCCTGGGCCCAGGGACCAGCAGAAAACGGCTCGAGATGAGACACTGGTCCCAGGGAAGGGGTCCAAACCTGTAGGGAGGAGGAGGAGGAGGAGGCGGAGGAGGAGGAGGAGGGGGCCACGCTGCAAGAAACTCACGACGTCGGAGTTCGGGAATCCCTCGGCAAGAGTGTTGAGGTCAATCGGCCCCACGGGACGGGGGGGGCAGCACCACAGCTCCCCCGAACGTGGCTGGTCCGCTAAACCCCCCTCGTCGCCGCCTGGTGACGCAGGAAGGGCGTGCAGGAGCAGGGAGAACGTTTGGGGACACCAGCTCTGGGGAAACCCAAACAGCACCTATACAGCTACACCCCGGACCTCTCCTGGGGCGCCCTCTAACCAAGATTTCGAAGCGAATCCAGCGGTGGCGACGAGGGCCTCCGACGAGGGCCCAAAAAAGGGAAAACGAGAAAAGGGTAGCGATATGGATACCGTTTCCTCCTCTGAAAACGTGGCTGGTCTGCTCCCCCCTTCGTCGCCACCTGGTGCCGCAGGAGGGGAGTGCAGGTCCAGGGAGAGCGTTTGGGGGGAAGAATCGGCCAAGGGGGGCATCGCGAGAGCATACAAAAACACAGGGTATTAAAAACGAGGGGCCTAGCAGCAAAAAACCCGAGGGTATAACAAAAACGAGGGCACGCAAAACACAAACCGAGGGGGGGCTCGATACCAGCCAGCTGCACTCGGCGAGGCATCGCCGCGTGCCTTCGGCAGCGGGCCCCCGATCTCGGATCCGCACGCTCCAGGGCGGGGCGGGCTGCATCGGGCCCCTCACGGCGACAACCCGGATTGGCATGCCTGCTGGAATCCGCAGGAGGTAGGAGGAGGAGGAGGAGGGGGAGGAGGAGGAGGAGGAGGAGGAGGAGGAGGAGGAGGAGGAGGAGGAGGAGGAGAAGCAGGAGGAGGAGGAGGAGGAGCACGGGGGTCGCTGCGCACCCCCCCCTGTCCCCCCCTCCCTGACCCAGACCCCCCTCGCATTGCGAAGCACCACGACGGGAAGCTCTTCGCTATGTTGAGGCCCACGGGGGCCCTCGTCGCAGGCCTCGGGGCCGTTAACCAAACGCCTCGGGATGAAAAGCCGGTCCCAGGGAAGGGGTCGAGACATTGGAGGGTCGACGCTGTGCAAAAATCACCGCGTCCCGCGTCTAGGAACGTTGCCCGTGAAATGGAGAGATAGGAGGAAGGAGGAGGAGGAGGAGGAGGAGGAGGAGAAGGACGAGGAGAAGGAAGAGAAGGAGGAGGAGGAGGAGGAGGAGGAGTGGGAATCTCCCGGCCTCCTCGCCCATGTCGTCCGCGACCGCGTTGCCCGAAGGGCCGTCCTCGAACGACCCATCCTTCCCACCAATGGTCACGGTCTGGGGCGCGTCGTATCGCTGCACACGCGGCTTCCCGCGCCCCTCGTCCTCGTCGTCGCTGACGTCCAGTTGGTCCCACTTCGAATAGTCGACCATGCTCCTCCCCCTATGGCACCTGACAGGCCCCCCGATGCCGGTCCATGGCTTGAGCCGAATGGCCCCGGGCATGGCAGGCGATTCCAGTACGCACTTCTCGCTTAGGCGGTGGACCTGCTGGGTACACTCGTCAGACGACTGTGCGGCCAGTGTACCGCTGTACCGCCAGTGCAGATATTCCAAGGGGCTGCGGGCGAATGACAGAGATGCCGGTGGACCAGCCCTCGCTATATCCCCCCCAAGCTGTTACGGAGCCTGCTGCAGGAAGGGGGCGAAACCGCACGATCCACACAGGGCCCTCGATACGCGACTCACTCCCCTTAGTGGCACCCCGTGATCGGGCGCTCGGCACACTGTGATGAAGCTCTACACGTCTCGCCTCGCTCACGTCCTGCGGACCACCGGCCACCCCGCGAGAGCAGATCCGCGTACGGTGAAAGCGTTGGAGCAGGAGCCCTCGGAGAAGGAGCCCACAGTCCAGGAGCTCGTGGAACTCCAATCGTTGACTGGCCAATCATCATCATCATCATCATCATCATCATCATCATCATCATCATCATCATCATCATATCATCATCATCATCATCATCATCATCATCATCATCATCATCATCATCATCATCATCATCATCATCATCATCATCATGAGCATCATCATGAGCATCATCATCATCATCATCATCATCATCATCAGCATACTCATTTTATTCATCATCATAAACATCAGCATCCTCATCAGCATCATCATGAACATCAGCATCATCAGCATCACCAGCATCACCATCATCACCAGCAGCATCAGCAGCATCATCATCATCATCGTCATCAACACCATCATCATCATCATCATCATCATCATCATCATCATCAGCAGCAGCATCATCATCATCATCATCATCATCATCATCATCATCATCATCATCATCATCATCATCATCATCATCATCATCATCATCATCAGAATCATCATCATTTGCATAAGCCTCCTCATCATCAACCTCATCACCACCATCATCAGAATCATCAGCATCATCACCATCATCATCAACACCATCATCAGTTTCATCAGCATCGTCTTCTTCTTCAGCAGCATCATCTTCTTCTTCATCCTCATAATCACAAACATCATCATCATCATCATCATCATCAGCAGCAGCAGCAGCAGCCGCAGCGGCATCATCATAAACGCCAGCATCATCGTCACCATCAGCACCACCATCATCATCAGCATCAGCATCAGCGTAATCATCATCATCATCATCATCATCATCATCATCATCATCATCATCATCATCATCATCATCATCATCATCATCCTCATCCTCATCCTCATCCTCATCCTCATCCTCCTCATCCTCCTCATCTTCATCCTCATCCTCATCATCATCATCATCAGCAGCATCATCATCATCATCAGCATCATCATCATCATCAACAGCATCATCATCATCATCATCAACGTCATCATCATCAGATCATCTGACAAAGAATTCTCCAGGGTCTGAGGCCTTGTGGGCACATTCCATAACGAACGCTCCCACCGCAGCTCCCCGTTGCGGCGCACTGCGACCGAGCGCTCGGCACTGTGATTGACCACCGAGCCCCCCGCGAGAATCCAACTGAATGCTCGCCACAACGGACGATCAACACACACCCGTACCAATAGGGGGACGGAAGGGAGCATGGGCGCGTGTGGTCGGACGAGAGCCTCCGCTCGACAGGGCGCCCCCCGAGGGTGCCGACGACCCGCACCCATACCCACGGCCAGGCCTCCTCCCTCCGACCCGCCTCTGGTAGTGATCCGTCCGCCCCTGAGTGGCCCTCGCCTTTGCCCCATCCCCCCCCCCGCGGCCGCTCGCTCCTCCCCTGTCCTCTCCCTGCATGCTGGCCAACTCGCTGCAACGGTGGCCCCGTTGAGTTCGCCTCTTCCGCCAGCGCAGACGACCCCTGCCTAGCCGCCAACGCAAAAAGTGTGTCGAACGTTCGTCACGCCAGGTGCGCGGTGCCCGGCGACCGCTGCTTTCGCCGACGGCTGGTTTCGCCGACAGCTGGTTTCGCCCGGCTGGTTTCGCCGCCCGGCGAAACCAGCGCCGTCGGCGAAACCACCTCGTCGGCGAAACCAGCTGCCGACGTCGAAACCAAATGCCGTCGGCTAAAAACCAGCTGCCGTCGGCGAAACTGCCCGACCCGACCCGCCCGCTGTGGTCCGCCCGCCAGACCCGACCGGCCTGTGAGGGCTCGCGCGTGCTCGGTCCAGCGCGCCCCGCAGTTTAATGTCCCGCCCGACCCACCCGTTAGGGTCCGCCCGCCCGACTCGACTCGACCAGCCCACTGGGGCCGCCCGACCCGACCCGCCCGTTAAGGTTCTCGCGTGCTCGGTCAAGCGCGCCCCACACTTTAATGTCCCGCCGCCCAACACGACCCGCCCATTAGGGTCCGTCCGCCCGACCCGACCCGACCCGCCCGCTGTGGCCCGCCCACCCGACCCGACCCGCCCGTCAGGGCTCGCGCGTGCTCGGTCCAGCGCGCCCCGCAGTTTAATGTCCCGCCCGCCCGGCCCGACCCGCCCGTTAGAGTCCGTCCGCCCGACCCGACCCGTCCCGCCCGCTGCGGTCCGCCCGCCCGACCCAACACGCCCGTCAGGGTTCGCACGTGCTCGGTCCAGCGCGCCCCGCATTCTAATGTCCCGCCCGCCCAACACGACCCGCCCGTCATGGTCCGCCCGTCCGACCCGACCCGACCCGCCCGCTACGGTCCACCCGCCCGACCCGATCCGCCCGTCATGGCTCGCGTCGGCTAAACCAGAGCCGGCGAAACCAGCGCCGGCGAAACCAGCCACAGGCGAAACCAGCAGGGCAAAAGCAGCGCCGGCGAAACCAGCGCTGGCGAAACCAGCCGCCGGCGAAACCAACCGTCGGCGAAACCAACCGTCGGCGAAACCAGCGCCGGCGAACCAGCGCTGGCGAAACCAGCTCATGCCCGGTGCCCGTGCCCCCGCGGCCGCGGACATCGTGCGAGCGGGAGGCGGAAGACGCCAGCGGCGCCGGCGGCCGCGACAGACTGCCGCGGCCGCTGCCGTCGCTGCCGTCTTGGCAGCGCCGGGCCTCGGGCGCGCGCTGCTCGGAGGGTCTGTGCCGCGCCTGTCCCTTTCGGGAGCCCGTCCCTTTTTGTTTGATTTCTGAATTCCTTCTTTCCCAATGCTTAAATTCATAGATTTGTTTGTTTCTCTCTTTGGTTTCCCAATGCCTAAACTAATAGATTTGTTTGTTTCTTTCTTTGGTTTCTCTGTTTTGGGCATCCGAGGCCCGTCCCCGACGGCAGGGCTGGAGCAGGGAAGGCCGTGCCGGCGTCAACGGCACTCGTACACCAGTCGCGCGCCCCTCCGGTTGTGGTCAATACGATGCCCCCCCTCCCCCCAAGCACAAACTCGAGACAGCTGTCCAGACATGTTGGAGCTGACGGACGCCTCCAGACACATGTTCTCCTCATCGTGTCCTCCTCCTCCTCCTCCTCCTCCTCCTCCTCCTCCTCCTCCTCCTCCTCCTCCCTCTCCTCTCCTCCTCCTCCTCCTCCTCCTCCTCCTCTCCTCCTCTCCTCCTCCTCCTCTCCTCTCCTCCTCCTCCTCCTCCTCCTGTTGCTTCGAGCGAAGCCCACCCAAGAGCGCGGGGTGGGGATGCCCAGAGAGAGCCGACGCACGTTGGGCCCGGCGGCCGCCGCATGCAGTCGCCATTCGTCGAAGGCACGAGGCGGGATACCCAGCGAGCACTGGCACGCGCTGGGCCCGCTGGCCACGGTGTGCAGGGTGTGCGAGGCGGGTCGGGAGCTCTGCTCTTCAGATCTGACAGCCTCACAGGGTCGCAGAAGATTTGGAAACAACAGCATACCCTGGTAGACGCCTGGTGTGCGGACACGTGTGGCCTCCCTCTGGCTCCCCACGCCCCCAATACTCGGGAGGAAACGGGGCGGCCCACCTCGACATGTGCTCGTCTCCTCTCCCGCGCAGGCACGAAGATGTCGGTGTGCGATTGCCGGTGGAGGTGAGGGCACCGCGACCGCGAAGGACCAACAACCGCGGGCCTGGCCCTGACGTCCCCCACCCCCCCGCCGCAGACCCAAGCGCCAGCGACGAGCAGTGCCGCCAGAGCAGCGAGACCGCAGAAGAAGATCTGTGAGCCAGCCCCTCCCCCTTCCCCCCCTCCAGGAAGCCCCTGAGATCCCGTCGCCGCATCGCTTCGCAACGGGCGATCTTGCCTGTTGCTCGGGCCCCGCGACCCTCACGGATCGACCCGCCCCGACAATGGGCGATCACACGGTCGTCAGGCATGCGTAGTACCCGGCGGGGCGCGAGACCCGCCGCTCGGCTGAGGGCCTCCGCTGGGAGAGAGCCAGCGCCGCGTGTCCGCATCCCCTCTCCTGGAAATCCTGGGAACACACGGAGAGGGAACCGAAAGGAGGGGGAGGAGGAAGAGGAGAAGGAGGAGGAGGACGAGGAGGAGGAGGAGGAGGAAAAAGGAGGAGGAGGAGGCGGAGGAGGAGGAGGAGGAGGGAGGAGGAGAAGGGGGAGGGGGAGGGAAGGAGGAGGAGGAGGAGGAGAGTTACGGAGTTACTGATATTGCGACTGTGATGGTTACTGTTGCTTGCATTCAACTTGCCGCTTGCCTGGCCTTCCCAGCTTTGCTGTAAGCTTAGGCCAGCCCCCTGTTCAATGTGTTTGCGATTGTCTTTACGGCTGCCCTCGGCTCTCATAGGACATGGCTTCTCTAGCTGAAGCAGCTGCTGTAAAGCGTAACTCCCACATGCCTTGCAGAACCAAATCCCCATCCCAGCGAGAAACTTTGAAGCATGAGTATTGTCAGCCCAACCACCACAGATGTGCACCCGGCAACCGGGGGGCGGCCTGAACGTTACGCCATCGAATGTCCCCAGGTCAAAACACGGGGATGCCAGCCAGGCAGCTTTACACGCTGCAGTGGTAGTGCTCTTGCATCGGATGTGGGGCA